CAACTCGTTTGTTGAAGATGATCCAGAATGGGTTGAAGGGGCTGATGGGGCTCCAGACAACCGGAATACCAATAGTCTTGGCAACGGTGATGTTTCGAATGAGACACGATATGGTGTACATAGTATAAAGCCCAATCAGACAAAGGGCAACGAAACCATTTGTCGACATCTTCAGGTTTGGTGCTTGCAATAGTCGCAGAACAGTTTTTCTTGCATGTACCCTCACGCTGTCCACGAAGCCTCTTTCTTTCCCTGAAGCGAAATTCTTATGAGTGGCAGCGCACCACTCGGATCACGTCGTAAGGTTCCAGCCCTCCGGGAAGCTTCTCCGGAGAAGGCCCCTGCTCTGCCTGGGTTCCGTCGCCTGATAGTTCCGCTGCAGTCCGCAGGTATGTTGCACAACACCGGAAGTCAATTATATTAAACTTTGTCTGCCGGCTGACCCATGCTCGCGTGGTCAACTCCATTCCACATTTTCCGATTCTCAGCATGCCATCCTCCTCGAAGAGAAACATCCGTTTTGGTTTAGTCATGTCACTGATTACACCGCAGATTATACCGCGGACTCGCAACTCACCCCGCTCCCCGAGACGTTTGTCGAAGTATGTTTCAGTCTCTTATTCCGATAAGACAGTAGCAATCGGCATGAGAAAGATTACTGCATACTTTTCAGGCTTTCAAGGCCGAATATCTCGGAAAACAGATCAGGTTTGGCATCCGACATTGTCCTGACGATGAGATCAACGGCCACAAAAATCAAGAAGAGTCTTTCCTCGGTATCATTCCTCCAAAATTTGGATATCACACACAGATCTCAGAGCTCAGTCTCTACCTCTTCAAAATTTTGCGGCTTGCAGCTATGAGCAAACCCAGTCACACCAAGGATGGTTTCCTCAGGTCATATACAGAATGGCTTGTTCTTGGGCTATTGTTCCTCGTCATCCTGCGAAGTATTGCCAAGTTCATTGTCAAAGAAATGAGGGTCAGGCGTCATGGAGGGCACGCGTCGAGATACAAATCATACACGCCGTTCGGTTAGTTTCCGAAACCTCAAGCTAATATTCGTGATAACTAACGCTAAGGTAGGCGTATTGTCCGGCTTGCATTTTCTGTGGTCCATCACCACTTGTGCCTTACAGGATCAAAACCTCAAATTCATGCATAACGCGTTTCTCCGATCAGGCCAGGGGAAGAAGAACCCATACACGTTTGAGGTCTCCTTGATAGGGTCGCGCGCAATTTTCACTGCAGATCCCGAGAATATTCGAGCCATGCTCGCAACTCAGTTCAACGACTTTGGAAAAGGCCAGCGCTTCAGAGCAGATTGGTTTGAACTCATGGGAAATAGCATCTTCAACGTTGACGGTGACGCTTGGCATGCCTCGCGCCAACGTCTCCGATCTCTCTTCACCCGCCAACGAATTGGTGACCTCGTCTGTTTTGAGCGTCATATCCAGGATATGCTTCCAGCATTAGCTGGTGGCCATTGTGTGGATATGAAGGACATCTTAAGCAGATTAGCGCTTGATGTATCGGCTGACTTTTCCCTCGGGAGACGGGTGGATTCTCTGACAAGCGAAGAAGATGACGCCGTCTTTGAGGCATTTGAGCGTATCCGCCACACCCAGTCCTTGATTGAGCGACTGGGCCCTCTAAACTTCCTTGTTCCGCGCCGCAAATTCCGCAAAGACCTAGAAACCTTGGATAAGTTTATGGGGCCCAGCATTGAGAAGGCAATATCAATGTCGGACGTGGAGCTAGCGGAGATTGACAAGACAGACCACGGATGGACACTTCTTCATGCATGCGCTGGTGTCTCTCGAGACGCTCGGTATCTGCGTGACGAAATGGTGTCGATACTGATCGCTGGCCGAGACACCACTGCAACCACAATGTCCTGGGCTTTCTATGAGCTCGCGAAGAGTCCCGAGGTGCTTGCCGAGCTTCGCCGCGAGATTGAGAACAAGCTGGGCGTTGGCGCCGGAGCTCGTCTACCAACCTATGACGACCTCAAGAGCATGATCTTCGTTACCCATGTGCTGAATGAGACTCTTCGGCTATATCCCAACGCACCTTTCAACATCAGAGCTGCTTCAAAAGACACCAGTCTACCACGTGGAGGTGGACCAGACGGGAATGATCCCGTAGGAGTTCCATCGGGTACCCAGATCATCTATTCCACGCATGTCCTTCAATTGCGAGATGATCTCAATTCATACAAGTATCCACTCCAAGACTTCTATCCTCGTCGATGGGAATCTTGGACACCTCGTCCATGGACGTATATTCCGTTCAATGGTGGGCCGAGGATATGCATCGGGCAGCAGCTGGCTCTCACTGAGATGGCGTACGTCTTGGTTCGTGTGTTTCAACAATACAGAAGTGTTGAAGCAAGACAAAAACCAATGTCTAAAGATTCGGAGTCCATGGCAATTGACTGGGAGAGAAGAGGCATGGAGCCCGACTCGGTAGAGAAATTTGTGAGGTCGAGGCCACGCATGGCCAGTGAGATCACACTTGCGCCTCGAGGTAGTGTAGACCTAGTCTTCCGTGAGTAGTGAATTGGCGAAGGTATTAGCAATCATGTTCCAGAAGATGTGAGTGCTCATCCTCCCCTTGGCCGCTTGTCGAACTGGCCAAGCAAGTTGTGACATAGCGCAGTGTTGTTCATGACATTCAGAGTTCTTTCCCTTGACTTAATGCCTGGAGACATTCACTCTAGGTACTGTGGATGGTTACAGAAGGCACTTTAGATGCTGGCACCTGCCATAATGGGTTGGAAAGTAGAGTACATAAATGACGCAACTACCTGCCTGTAATTGAAGCGAGATACCTAAGGGAAGCAGCTATGGAACGTACCCAGCGACGTGATGCCTTCCCATTGCAACGACATGGCGAGTCTGGCAAGACAGGAAGTAATCTCTATACCTCGCTTTCCATAGAAGTAAACGAAAGCCCTCGCTTCCGTCTCATTGTACTAAAGAACCTTAGTAGAGAACACCCACCAACGTCCGAAATCTTCTGCAACATCTTCATCACCAACACATCCCACCCGAAACTTCTGCAACCATCCTTCCTGAGCAGGAAGCAGTCACTCTGTTGGATTATTCTTCACACAATTCATTCCTTACATCCACCCGGCATTCACCAGCTCATTCTTCCAATCCAATCTCCGATCAGAATACAGCCTGCTTGTCTGTCCGTTGGAATCTTCCAGTCCTTCTACGCAGACGCAAAGTGACATCCAGCATGGAACCAACCCGCTACATTGCTGTCTTGGCAGCATTGGCATCCTTCGTAGCAACCTCACCTGCACCAAGTCACCCAAAGGGTTCGCGGCTCTTGTTCACCCATACTGATTCTACCCTCCGTGTTGTCAAAACATCCCCAGCTGATCCTGGATCATGGGTCACCGATGCGGACAAAGATGGGTTGATCGAGAATGGTGTCCGTTTCATCGATATCACTGACATCAAGGTAAGCTTTCTTGAACCCTTGGCATGGCTTGGTTCTGTTCATCCAGAAAATTGATTTGACTGACATCTCCCAAGGACGAAGAAGTTCTCGAAATGATATCCACCCCTGATCACGACTTCAGTCAGTACCTCAACACTCTCGACCTGAATACTGAATTAGCCCAGCAAGGGTTAGATTGGATGCAGGACGAACACGGTGGTCCATCTATGGCCCCTTCTGAGCAACCGACACCGTTCAATACTGAACGTGCAATGCGTCACCTCAAGACAATGACTGAGTAGAAAAGACTGACCCCAATCTTGCTTCGTGTCCTGACTAGGATCACAGGTTTTGGAGCAGAGATCACCGGGTGGAAAACGGCACAAAAGCTGCCGAATGGATACTCGAAAGTATTGAGAGGATCGTTGCCTTGGTCAACCCGCGTATCGAATCCGCCGCGTTCGCACATAACGCCACCAAGCAGCCCTCAGTTATTGCCAAGCTGCCCGGAGCTACCTCTGACATTGGTGAGCCTGTCCTCGATCTTCCAGATGGCTCTGCTGACTCTCTAACCAGTTGTCTTCGGTGCCCACTTTGACTCTATTTCAAGAAAGCCTGGTGGTTATGCTCCAGGAGCCGACGATAATGCTTCTGGAACGGTCGTGCTGCTTGAACTTCTCCGGACACTAGCAGAAAAGACGAGTCACAAGGATACCGAGCCTTGGCAGCCCCTTCGCAACACAGTTGAGTTCCACTTCTATGCCGCAGAAGAGGTCGGTTTGCTTGGCTCTTCAGAAATCTTCTACGATTACAAGGTCAAAAACAAGACGGTCGTTGCCATGCTGAACCACGACATGCTGGGATTCTCTTCCACTGACAAGGTATCTCTGGGTGGCGACAAAATTGACCCACGCCTCACACATGTCCTCCGAACCATTGCGAAGCAGCGCGGCATCGCAACACTGAGCTTTTCTTGCGGTTACGCCTGTTCCGATCATGCAAGCGCTCACAACAACAAGTACCGTGAGTGCGACGTTTTCTTCTTACTTGGCTTAAGTTGACGATGGTATCATAGCTGCGGCCTTCATAACTGCCGATCGTGACCCAACGGGCAACGACAGAATTCACACCGATAAAGATGTCAGTTCCACCAAATTTCTCTATGGCCACGCCGAAAGTCGGGTGCTAATCTTGATTGCAGACATTAGAGACGATCGATAAAGAAACACTCGAACGCCATTTCCAATTCAGCCTCGCAGCTCTTGAGGTTCTCTCGAACGCAAATGTTACCAAGTTGGGCAGACCAAGCGACGATCTAATGTAACCATCAGGATCTTGCTACGCTGAGGACCATACAAAAGGCATGAACAATGGTTGACAAGCCATGCCCCACACCCATCAACCAAGAATAGAATTACTAGCATCTCTCAATGGAACCCATATCTGTTCATGACTTTCCCCATGTGCCATGGTCATTGGTGAACCTGCGCACAAGTACTCCCACAGACGTTTATTGCAGCTACTGGGGCGGGTCGTCTCTCTTTCTTCGATGCTCCACTGTGTAACATTACCCACAGACCACTGTTCCCCTCCCTGAGGTTATTGAAAATCCCCAGATGGCTGATGCAAAGAAGGACTCCCGGGGGTCGGGGGAGTCGGTCTACTCCGAACGTCCGGCATTGAGTGTCCGGACGGCTCCACTTTGGCGGGCGGCGCTGTTAGATAGCTCGGTAGTAACCATGATAGGTGGGCCGATCCGACACTCAAAGCATGTTACTCAGCATGCCATGCCCCAAGGCGGAGATGCATGCACGAATATGGATAAGACAACGAAAGCCCGCTGAGGGGTTGACATTCCCTGCCTTGTCGACGACGATAGGCAATTCACGAAGTCGACGACAATCGCCATCACGGCAAAGCTTGACATCACAAACATGAGCAACCTCAAGGGCAAGGTCATTGCCATCACGGGCGCAGCATCGGGCATCGGCCTGGCGACGGCGAAACACCTGGCCGACCTCGGTGCGCGAGTATCGATATCGGACGTCGACGAGCCCCTCCTCGCCACGGCTTCGGCAGATCTCACCAAGCTTTACGGGGCAGACAACGTCTACTCGCGAGTCGTGGACGTGAGGGACCGCAAAGCGGTGGAGGCGTGGATCACGGAAACGGTAGAGAATCTCGGACCGCTGGACGGGGCGGCCAACGTCGCCGGTGTGCTTGGACGGCAGGGCAACTTGGCGACGGTGACGCAGATTGAGGACGACGAGTGGGATTTTGTGATGGGCGTGAATGCGAGGGGGATATTGAACGCCATGAGGGCCGAGATTCCTGCATTGGCGGAGGAGGGAAAGAGGAAGAGTATTGTGAATGTGTCGAGCGTGGCGGGGCACTATGGGTTGGAGTATCATGGGGCGTATACGGCGAGTAAACATGCTGTTGTTGGCTTGACCAAGAGCGCGGCGAGGGAGTTTGGCAGAAAGGGTTTGAGGATCAATGCTATCTGCCCGTAAGTCACCATTGTCTGCATTATAGAAAGATTTGGCTGATGAGAAAGGCAGTGGCGCAATTGATACGCCCATTCTACGAACGGCGCTGGCGGCCAAAACCACAGAGACCGGGGCGGACGTATTTGAGCCGCTTTTGGGGAGAGTCGGGCAGCCTGAGGAGGTGGCGACGACAATTGCTTTTTTGCTAGGAGATGAGTCCTCGTATGTCACTGGGCAGGCTTGGTTAGTCGATGGTGGTTCAATTCCTTGAAGGGGTATGTACGACTCGAACCAAGGGAGAAGTTGTCGTATGTGTGATGTCAGACAAGGAGGAATAGGATGCAGGGCCGAAGATGAGATCGGATGTATCGTAGTCATGGTCACTCAGCATTGAGTATCTAAAGTCTTGCAGAACGTGAAATACTACTTGTCTATTGGAAAACTATCTTGGGGTGCTGACTGTGCTGCTGTCTCGGAGTATTTGGAATTCTCAATAGCAATTGGTGCATCGTCGCAGCGAAGGATGCAAAGGATTGAACCGTTGCTACCTACCTCTTTTTCCCGAGAGTGGAGGAGCAGCGGCCGTGCTACCTACCCTACCTTACCATACCTCAGTTGGTAGGTAGCAGAACAAATTCTAGATGCTACGCCGGGAGCTGTGCGTACATGCAGTGAGAATTTTCTGGAACGATGCAACGGATAGGTGTGATCGTGGGTGAGATTACAACTAGGCGCCGAAGCAGGCGAGGCAGAATATTCAGAACAATGCTACGCCATCAGCACCTAGATGCAGGTACCTTGGGCATACAATACATGAACTCGGCTATCTGTAGTAGCTGACATAATAACACTTCAGGAAGAGGGCGGCTGTTTATGAACATTATGAGATGATCTCGTGAATTATTCCACGGAAAGACTAATAGTAAATCTAGCAAGCGAGTGCCAAGTTGGTATCAAAGCAGATGTAAACAAGAGTATTATAGACGATAATTGCCTTCCCCTTTCTCCAATCGTCGATGCACTCTTCGACGGTTAAACGAAATCTTGAAGAGATGGATATTTTTTCAGAGTTCTATTGTCCAAAGACTTAGACAGTCTTCTCAGGCAATGAGCTGTGGGCGGAGCTGCCGGGGGCACCGTCATGGCTGCTGCTGGGCACAATGTCTGAAACATGGCGGGTGACCTCGACGTAATCGTAGGCGAACTCTCCGAGCTGGCAGTCGTCGAGACCAAGGTCCTCGTCGTCGACGCTGACACGCAGGCTGAGGCCGGGAACGAGGTTCATCAGGAAGAGGATGAGGCAGGTCAGAGTGAAGGACCAGGCGAAACCGGCGACGGAGCCGGCCAGCTGGTAGCCGAGCTGGACGTAGTGGTGCTCGATCCAACCGCCGGCAATCGCGCTTTCGCCGGTGTAGGCGCCGTCGAGGGCAGCAATGTAGGAACTTGAACATGTTAGAAGAATCTTCTGCGGGTAGTTTTGTAGCATGGTGGCAAGACTTACGCAGCGAAGATACCGGTCAGGATGTTACCGCAGATACCACCAATTCCGTGGACGGCGAAGACATCAAGACCATCGTCAATGCCAAGGACGAACTTAAGCTTAGTGCCAAAGTTGCAGGCAATGCCACCGACAATGCCGAAGATGACGGCAGCCCAGGGGGTAACGAAACCAGCACCGGGGGTGATGGCAACCAGGCCGGCGATGGCGCCGGAGCAGAAGGCAATGGTGGACCACTTCTTCTCCAAACGGTAGTCAAGGAGCATCCAGGTGACGCCACCGACACCGGCAGCAAGGTTGGTGTTGAAGCAGGCCATTACAGCACGGATGTTGGAGGCGAGAGCGGAGCCGCCGTTGAAACCGAACCAACCGACCCAGAGGAACACAGTTCCGAGAACGACGTGGGTGACGTTGTGAGGGCGGTACGGGAGACCGTGAACGCTGTTGTAACCGGTGCGCTTGCCCAGCATCAATGAATAGGCAAGGGCGGCAGCACCAGAGGAAATGTGGACGGGCGTCCCACCGGCAAAGTCGTAGGAGCCGAGAATGAACAGCCAGCCGTTGCCGTTCCAGGTCCAGTAGGCGATGGGGTCGTAGACAATGGTGGCCCAGATAAAGGCAAAGACCATGGCAGGGAGGATGCGACCGCGGTCAGCAATAGCGCCGAGAGCGAGAGCGGGACTATGGAGAGTAGTCAGATGCTGCCATCGAGGTCATAGACTTCGCGCCAGATTAGAGTAGACTCACGTAATGGCGGCGAACATGCCCTGGTACAGACAAAAGAGAATATCAGGAATCTTGGTGGAGCCGACAGAGGGTTGAGCGACGACCTCCTTGAGACCAAAGTTTGACATGTCGCCGAGGAAGACGGAGCCGGTGTGAGAGAAGGTCAAAGTGTAACCCCAGAAGAACCATTGGAACCCAACCACGCCCACGCAAATCATCGAGATCAATATCAAGGACAGTGCGGACTTTCGGCGGGCAAGACCGGAGTAGAAGAAACCGACACCAGGAATCATGAGCAGCACGAGCGCCGAGCAGACCATGATCCAGGCCAGGTCGCCAGACTATGCAATCATGTTAGACAATAACAGTAACAACATGTATGAGGTAGTCGTCGTTGGGCCACGACGGGTATCATATGAGCTCACCTCATAGAAGACGTTGAGGTCGGCAACACCGGCAGAGTAGCCGGCGTCCGCCTCGCCCTCGGTGCCATTGTAGGGGATGGCGTAGAGACCGGCAGACATGTTGACGGTTGCGCGCCGGCGCGTGAGCGGTCAATGGGTAGTGATTTCGGTGCACGATATCCGGACGGGTCCTCGGGAATCTTCAACGTTTGCCAGCCTCGAGATCGGCGAACAGACGTCGAAGGAGGAGGGATGGGTGAAGAAGGCTACAGGGAAGGGAGGGAACGAAGAAAAGGGAGAAATAAGCACACCGTTCACGTCTACGCCGGGGATGGACAGGCTAAATAATCCAAAAGCAACATTAGGAAAAGCAAAACCGGGGCATTGCCTTCGGCCCCTCGTCGTGAGCCGGCCGATATTTGAGCCTACGAGTACGTATGGCCAAGTCCACTACGGAGCACAGTTGCTGCAGTATCTTTGTATGGATCCCGAAGGCGGCAGGGATGAGCAGCCCAGACCGATGGCGCGGGTAAGATGAAGGATGGGATGTCAGTAAGTTGGGACGGGGAGGTCGCTCATTGAACAGTCTCCTATGCCGGGCAACACCAATAGTGCAGGGCCAAGGGGTGGGGAGGAAAGCATAAAAAAGGGCGTGAGAGGGTGTCTAGCTCAGCAAAAGAGGGCTGTATCTTGGAGCGACTTCCGAATCCTCGTCTGTCTCCGGGAAAACAAGTCGGGCATGTTCCTCTACAGGCGTAGCTGCATGGTGGTGGTACGAGAACGCCCTCATCGCGAGAGCTTCATACAAATACGGTCGGTGAAATTCGTACATGTACTTGAGCCACATGCTTCGAGGACCCTTGTTGACCTTTTCCTCCACCCCATGTCGTCTAGCATCGAGTGGGCCGTCGGAATCTGTGGGTACTGATAAGGAATTGGAGACTGGCCAGGGTTTGTCGAATAGTTGAAGGAGGATGACAAGGATGTCTAGGGTCGGGGGCTTCGGCTCAAGGCTAATTGAAGCCATTTGAGGGAGCCATGTCTCTTGGCAGAACCTCGCCGCTAGCGTACCGTAGGCGTTTCTTCGCCCGTTGGGCTACCTAGTACGTAGCTTTCGGACGCTAGATAGTCGTACTGCGTACTCTTTGGAGTCTGTCTCGGCCCACGGCGTGTACTGTATTTGGCATGAGACTTTGAGACTCCGGATTCTGGACGTGGAGAATGTCAAAAATCGAGCAGATGAAATAGAGTGCCATGCCAAGAGATGGCTTGAGCTTTGCTCATCCCGCCCAGTGCCCACGTCTGGAGAAAATCGACTTCTTCATATGCTGTGTTCGCCAGTGCAACATTGTGCCCATTGCCCGGTTCCTAATGTTGATGGTTCGTAGTCGCACGGGGCAAATGAAAGGGATCCTTTTCGGCCGGTTGAGCCGCAGGGCAATCCCTCCGCTTGCTGCTCTTGCTGACATTGGATGCAACATTTCGGACCAAGAACAAAGTTTTTTCAATTTTTCTTGCAGACTGCAGTGCAGCATCAATGGTCGTCTGGCATGCAACCAGGTCCAGACACGTCGGCACAGACGTCTCTGGACCCGAGACGGGCCAAGACTGCAAGAAACAGGCGATCAAGGGAATTCGAGATGAGGATCCAAACGAAAGACGCATGCTGTGCCTCAGCAACGCAACGGCAGAAACGCATCAGCGAGGCGCGGCAATCGAGCAAACGCATCCGTACTTGGTAGGCAAGCTGTGTTATCTGACAATCTGTAGCTACTTCATTTCCCGCGTCGTGTTTCGCCCGTAGTTTCCGTCCTTGCCTGGCCGCTGCCGTGTGGGGGCGATTTCGGTCCATGGCTGCGAAACGGGATAGATGCCCCTTTTCAAAGATCCTTGGCAATCAGGCCGGCGGTATCCGTACTGATACGCTTCATGGCCGTTCGGTTCGATCAATATTGCAGTCTGGCTAGAGAAAATGAGCAGAAGCGCGGGGTGCATCGAGGTTTCGCTCAGGCGACGCTACAAAGGGAGATTTTGGTGGTTGATGGGAGCTCAGACCCGGTTTCACGAATTCTGTGATTGTGATTCCCTGGATGGGCCATGGGTGCTTTACGCAACAGGCAGCACCAGCCACATGTCTTGTTCCCTGTCGTTCCTTGGGTTTGTGGGAAAGTGGCTCAGACATCGATGCCATTGTAAGTTGTACACGAACTCGTCGCGATCACTCGCTGTGATGGTTGCTGCGGTGCGCCGATCGACAGAAATTAAGGTAATCCGCCATTGCGATTTGACAGGACTAGCTCGACGCCATCTTCATGGCTGCTGCCACGGATACGACACGTCAAGGGAGTCAAATAAGAAACGGTCACGGGTGATTGGTGGGCGGTGTCGCTTTCCCGCGGTGAACGTTGTTTGTCCCGATTGCATGGTGTCGGAGAAGAAGAAAGGTGCAGAAGGAGGCAACCGTCGGAAGTGCTCAGACTCGGAAGTCAAAGCGACACATTGACAAGACGAACTAGAGGCTAGAGGGGGTCTTCATGGTTGACAAAGCCCGATATCGCACGCGGGGTGCGGCATCGTATCGTCAGCTGCGTGTTGGAAGTCAAGCTACGTTCGATTGTGTACCCGTCCGAAGTAAATTCACGGATATAATCTTCCAGTTGAAGAACGTGTCGGTGACGCTAGTAGAAAGTGAATCCCCCACATGGCGAGCGATGAGTCGGGTGGTGGTGCTAGTCCGGTGGTCTGGCACAGTATCAGAGAATATGCAGGGTGTCAACGGTGTGAAGGCCTCGCATCGACTCGTGTGAGCGGTAGGTCGAGTCGCTAATCTCGAAAGATGGTTGCTGAGTTGCTGGGCTTCGAAGAAGCCCAGATTGATTTGGTTGCGGCGCTGTCAGTCCACCAGAATGTGCAAAAGCGCGTGAAGCTAAAACAGCATGTGTCCGTTGGGAAAGGCTCACGGGCTTTCCTTGATCCTTCACGTTGCCGTTCCGTGAATATGCTGCGCCGTTGGGGAAAGGTCGGGAATCCTTCAGGTCCACCAAGAGATAAGACGACACCGAAACCGGGCTAACTTAGCTGATAAGTTGATGGAAGAAAAAGGCGTGGAGAAAATGCGCCGTAGGTGATTGCTACATCTAAAGGCCGAGGGCGGAGCGCCTGATAGAGGTAGCGCGTCTGACAAGCGTTGATGAGAACCAATATGCGCTGGTGAAGATGTTGAATCAGGTGCTGCATGAATCGCTGTTGGTGCGCAAGTCCAGTTGATGGTGAGGTGGGGAATCGAGATTGCTGGCTTGCCGATGGGTGGTTGATATGGCGGAGACTGCTGTTATCTCATTCAGACAGAATGAAATATGAACATGGCGGATATCTCTTATCGCGGAGGCAGAGCCAGTACCTTGAGGTAGTTAGCCCTTTGCCGTGGCGTTTTGATCGTGGGCGGGAGAGGGGTGAGAAGTGCGAGGCGGTTGTAAAAGGATCATGGGATTCGATGATACCTTGCTCCGTACATTGACGAGCCGACGAGCCATCTGCCCCGGATTCTCTTGGGATGGGCGACATGTCGTCATTATCACCCCGACGGAGCAGAGAATCATCGAGCCAAGACATCGATGGAGCGTCCCACTCGCGCGAGCATCGAGAGAGTGCGTTGGGTGCGTTGATGTGTTGCCCATGTGGTTGTGGCAGCATTCGTTTGATGGCCGGGGTATGGCTGGAGGGGAGCTTGGGAAGATTGAGCCTGAACTTGTGAAGTGGGAGATGGGAGTGAAGGTGGGCGATAGGCGGAGCTTGGAAGCCCGGGTGCTGACCACTTTCCTTCTTTCCCTCCGGAGTCTGTCCCGAGGATGTAATTCAGTGAATACGTACTTGACTTGCGTTGCTGTGTTCCATGGGTACCGGTACCTGTATCCGTACCTTACCAGGCTGTCGCAATTGCACATCGTTGGAACGCCTCCATTTGGACAGGCACGAAATGAGCGTGAAATGGGACGCCAATAACCAAAGGAAAGGAACGCTAGAAAGGAGCATGCGTTGCTGCCCCGTTTGCTCTTGCCTTGTGGGAACGAACTTTGCATCCACGGAAAGAACCAAAACCCACTGGCCACGCAGACGAAGCCATTTGGAGAAGCTGCAAGCCAAGTTGGCTCTTCCTGTGTTTGAATGGCGGGGCCCCTGATTGGCCATCCCTTCTTATCTTTCGGTACGGTGGGCCTGAGATTGCTAGCGTCATCTTGGCAATGATAAGGCGAGGCAGGCACCAGTGGGACGGTCCTAACCCTTGTCTGTCCCTGCAGGGGTACCCCCATCCCTCTTTCCCTTTCTGTTTTCCATGGAATGACTGAAACGGGCCATCTGATTGACGACGACGACGACGACTCTCCTCACCTTCAATCTCTCAACACTTGGCATCTCACACACATCACAGCTTCTCAAATCAAGTGCCAGTGTTCGTCGTCATTGCCTCATTCTTCTCATCTCTACCTAGTTTCAGTGTTTCGCTTCTGCGTTATACAACTGGCTCATCGCTCGTTACGAGTAACCTTGATGGCCTCTCCCATTTGCCTTGCCTGTAGACATCCCACACATAGATACCTAACCAAGCTTGGTCCGCTGACTTGCAGCCTTATCAGCAACCAGCGCCATTCCTGATTCCTGCATCACTCATGATACCCCTAACCACTCATATCCGAAGTCCCCATTCGTCTCTCAAATCATGCCGCCCTACACTAGTTACCCCCACTGCGTTCGCCGAGGAATGCCGGCTAACACGGTATTAAGCGTGAAGAGTGAAATGTCCTTTATTTGTCCGAAGTACTGGTAGAGAAACGACTCACGTAGGGACCAGTCACACGCGCGGCCTCTCAGTCTCAGTGTCAAAGTCGATTCCCCTGTTCATAAGCCAACTGGTGAGCTCGCAATCTTTCATTCATCAGACCCATTGAGCCGCAAGCTTCTGGTTGATCCGTCTCACATGCTCTCCATCGTGCATTACCTACATACAAGTGAGGAACAGAACGGACGATCGACCAAAAACGTTGAATGCCATCTAGACATGTCTCAAATTTCCCCTGAACTCGATCAAGATTTCTTATTTTGCAAAGGTTGTCATTCATCACCCAACGGCCGCACGGCAACTTTAGAGTTAGTAGATCAACTTTGTTTCTACTCCTACCGTCCCGTCCGCCTGGATCTGTCCCGCTGACTTGCGTCTTTGCGGGCGCTCTCTCCCGCAATTTGACCTTGAATGGCGCCCAAGCGCCCCCGATTATCCGTAGATAGTCTGTTCGTCAGATGGACGGGCGCTCACCCTTCACGTGGCTGCGGGCGCAGCGCCTTTCACTCATACTTATATAAATGCCGGTTTCCAACTTTTCTCCTGCAAACCAAGGTCTTCCAACTTTCAGTGAATCAAGTCGAAACCTACTGAAGAAAATGTCCTTGAGCCATACGCGAGCGATCCATCATACGGCCAGTACGAAACCACAATAGGAACTCGAGATACACAAACGAGCTGATGTTCAAACCCGACCTTGCAACACACACACACACACGCACACACACCATAAGCATGCGGCCTTTGGCATGTCCTCACCTGGCGACAGAAACAATATCGCGGACCTTCCTATGTTCGCCAACATCATAGGCCACAAGTGAAGTGTCTACCCATTTATGATTGCTTCGCAAGATCGCCACAACTGAACAACGGAGACCACATACCGGCATTACGTTCATTGAAACCAATAGACTGCGAGCAATCTAGGTGCCTAGAACTGAAGCAATTAACGCAGGACTACTAAACTTTTCAAACTGGACCCTGGATTCTTAGTAAATCGAGCTGCTGCATGTTTGAGGACAAGTTCACAAGACTCCTGTCAGGACAACGCAATATGAGGACCCTCGCTCTTGGGACTAGATCGAATATGGCTTCTAGCCACCAGTGGCATGAAGGAACTTCGATGCAGTCACTTTTAGGGTTGATTCTGATGATCTTTCGTGACTACCGGCACAACTATATGTGTCAGGTTGGCAATCCATTGTCTTCTCTCGAAATTCTATTTCTCATGGCCGAAAATTCTCATCACTTGCTCCCCCCTCCCTAAACACGATGATTGATTAAACTGTGGTACATGTAAACTCAGTATCGATTTCAAATTGAGAGAATCTGAATAGTTTATGTAAGTTTAGAAAAGCGGCAGAGACGAGAGCTGTGACTTACAGGAATAGGCATTAAAATCTTGAATTTCCAGTCCCTGGATTCCAAGGTCCCGAAAGCCATGATGCACTAGGTAATGAGATTCATACCCGTGCCAGACTAATCAACCAAAAGCGCACTCATGTTTTACTAACTTCCTCTGATGAATCCAGATTCTGCCATGTGATGTAGTCGAAAATGTGAAGCCACGGCCCGCAGCATCTTGCCCCAATCAGAAGAAGACAAGTTCTCCTGCACACACTTACAATTTCAAATCCCACATAGAGGCTGTCTTCATATATATATATATACGAATATATATTGGGCTGATTCATAGAAAGTTCAATATGGCAGCTTGTTCCCAAGTCTTGAATTCTTCATGAGTGGCAGATGATCTGTGCGATGCCTACGACTCAGGGCGAGGAGTTCGCTGGGCCGCAAGCCCTGCTCAAGGCATTATTGCTCTCATGCATGCTTTTCACAGATCATTGTTACTTACTCAGACGATGCAACTATATTCTCGGTGAGCTATATCAAGTTGTGAGGGATGATGGCGGCGCGAGGTTTGTTCCAAATAAGGATTAGGACTCAACTTCCTTTCATACATATTAACCATATCTTTATGCCTCACACCATTGTGCCGCTAAATATAGGCCGCTAGTCGCTCAGCTTGGCCGTGGCCGAGATGTACGGATGATTGTATGAAAGTCAATTAAACCTGCATGCTGCCCCCGGCGATGTGCGTCTTGATGATAGAAAACTTTGCGTCGTGGCATTCAAGGCCAGGGAAAATCTCATAGTCTTGCTAAAATTAACAAACTATCAACGGCGGGACGTTGTTCTGCCCTTTTATTCGCGTACCTTACTCATGATAAACTTACATGAGCACGCGTTAAGACGTCAGCGACTTGGTAGGAATTCTTCAGAACCCTGCCTACCATATTCTTTCGCGGATACGAAACCCCACCAGGCATGCTTCAGATTCAACCTAATCTTGACAATGGCGACTTAACTCTGTTATCAAAACCCCATCGTCCACCCGACGAGGTGTGGACCACTGCCTTCATTGAGTCCACTGCTTGTACGCGGTCTAGCTGCGCAAGAGAGGAAGTTGAGTTTTAACCTTACACAACGATCTAAAAACACCCTACGTACCACTTTGAATCTATTCATTAACAAAAGGTTAAATTTGGGGCTTTCACAAAGAATCCTGAAGGCTGTCTTCTCGAAGATCTTGGTACATGCGGCGGCGATCGCGCATGAATCACGGACGAGTTGCTAACGAGTCGCGAATGTCGCCAAGAAGTGTACACTGCGCGACTGATCTTGAACTCGTACGGTACAGATCAGAAGTCGGCAGCTCGGAGGCTCGGATAACGAGGCTTTCGTCAGGCGTATGCTCGTAGGGCGTATGAGCCCGCCGCGCCATGCAGGGCGCCACATGCAACGCGTAGCACGATGTTGTGTCGCTTCATCCAATGAAAGTTCAGATGACACACTGGAAATCTTGGTGACCTTACGTTTTGACGTTCGGAAATGCCCCGCTTTCAATCGAAGCAGAATACTAAGGTTGGTGGGGCTGTTCCGAATGGTGTCATTTTAGATGGAATAAAACGTTCTTCTACTGGCGTCTCATAAGGCAAAGTCAAGTAGTTCAATTGCAGCATAGTACTTGCTTCGTATTGTCTCAAAGTTAAAGCCAATTCTCAGAACATATCCGAAGATATGGCCTATACCCATTACAACTTCAAAGACGTAAGTTATATCTCATTCTACAGATGAGGATGCTAATCGCTTTCTGGCATAGTTCCAGTCATTCTGCAAAAACCGGGCTGTTGCTTTGCAGAAACATGTATCCGCTTTACCAGCGGACCAATTCAAAGAAAACCCGTGGGAACTTGTGCGAGCCATAGAGGACTTTGCCAACACAGAAAAGCTCCCCATGATTTTCCGGGAAACCAAAATGAACCTGGCCCGAGCCGCTCTCACAGACATGAGCCCAAAGCCAAAGGTGATGATCGAGTTTGGAAGCTTCGTTGGCAACTCGACGGTAGCATGGGGCGCTATGATGAAAGAGTTTTACCCAGACCACAACAGCGGTATACGCATTTACAGTTTTGAGCTCGATCCCGAACTAGCAGAGATTGCACGAGACGTTGTGAAACTAGCTGGTATGAGCGACATTGTCACCGTCGTTGACGGGCCAGGCGCAGAATCATTGAAGAATCTTGTGAACAACGGAGATCTCAAGACCGAAAGTGTTGATGCAGTCTTCTTCGATCACTGGGAAGACATCTATCTTACAGATTTGAAGCTCTGTGAGGAACTTGGAGTTCTCCACAAAGGATCAGTGGTATTGGCAGACAATACTGACATTCCTGGCGCGCCTAAGTACCTCGAGTATGTGAGGGGTAACATGGATGAACTAGCTGGAACTGTACGATATCAAAGCAAGACTCATATCGTACCGAATTCGAGCAACTCAAACGGGCCAGTAAGTGATATTAAGGAATCTTGATTACCGCCACCTGCTGACAGAATTCACAGCGAGCTCTGGAGGTTACTATCGTCGTTTGATTGCCAGTTCGAGGTTGTATCCAGTCATCTTCATGCTCCAAGAATGTCATTGATGTTTACCTAAATAAAAAGGATCATTCCAACATTCAGAGTATTCTTTGCCCCAGGCCTGTTGATCTGGATGAGGGGTCTCCGTGCAAAGTTTTGCATGAAATTTGTATTGAAATGTTTCAAATCAGTAGTTTACTTCTTCATAGGTTCACAATAAACTGTACGTGGCTCTCTGGATGGCGGCGATTATCTTTTCAAGCCACTCAACAGCACCTTCGACGTTACCATCTTCCAAGCATTCTACAACTCCGGGAAAGATGACCCCATCATAGCCATACCACAGTCCTGGTGCAAAGATCTGCCGAAATGTTAAAATAGGAATAATCGTGACTTCAGACTTGAAACTTACAGCATGCCGATACCACTCCCGGCCAGGCAACCCAGCCCCCTTTGGCAAAAGAAACTGTCGCTCAAGGTAGAGGTAGGCCTTGTTGACTTCATTGTCAACTTGCATGCTTCCTGTGGCAGCTTGGAATGGCGATATCGCGTCTAATCGAGACGCGGCGTCTTGAAATTGCGTGACGGCCTTGCTCAGATCATTAAAGCTAAGGACGTTGCCATACTTGGCCTTAAGCTTCTTCAAGTGATGAGCGAGGATCCTCGGGTACTCCGCTGCCTCGAACGCAATGTTGCCCAAACCTGCAAGTCGAACTGTCAATAACCCCCAGAGTTGAGTCATGGCAAGGTGCTTCTTGAAGCCGACATCACCAAAATTTTCGACCCAGTAGTAACTGTCATAGTTGGAGTGATAAGGATATACACCCTTTCCCTGCCGATTGAAGAGCAGATCAACGGACGGAATGCCGAGATGATCGAAGAAGACCGTGTAATCACTTCCCGTACCCATAAGATCTAGAGTTGGGGCCATCTGGTCTGGATTGCCTCGCTTCTGGTCGCTCAGCCAGTCATCATAGACTGTTCTGTCCTCGTTGATCGGCGATTGGATCCTGCGAGTAACATCACGAAGCACGCTTGCAAGAAGCGGGCTCCCAGTAGCGCCAAGGATCGTCCCACCATTGGTCGACTCGTCAACATTGAGGTCTGAGCAAAGATCAGCTCCCGTCTTTCCCACAATCTAGACAACTCATGAGACTTACAGGCAACACAGTTCTTGCTTAGATCATCCTGGTGTTGTTCGCCCCATTCGGTAGAGCCGACCAGGCCGTATTCTTCGTTGTCCCAGTTTGCAAGTATACTGCATGTTGAGGGCAGTCAGACATAGCCCTTATCGGTTGATTCTTGCAACAGTAACAATGCATGACTTACATTTTCCTGTATGGTTTCCAGCCTTTTGAGTAAAGCTCGCCGAGGGCCCTAGCGACTTCATTCATTGCTGCCGTTCCACTCACAGGGTCAATAGCTCCACAGCACCAAGAATCGTGGTGATTGCCAAGAACGATGCTCTCCTCAGTGGTCCCACGTATGGTTCCGATAACATTGTAGATTGGGGCGTATTTGTAAGTGCCTGTGACTATGATCAGAGATCATTTATGGTCTCTGAACAGCTTGAAATCGAAATTGCTCACCTTGGTTTGATAGAAAGACTTTGGCTTGGCTGGGACCAGTACAATAGTCGACCGCCGCAAGACATCCTTTCCAGTCGCTGTGCTCACCGGCCATCTGATCAGGTCCAAGTCCACGACCGTTCAACGCCTGAAGGAAAGGAAGAGCATCTGCATAAGATATTGGCAGTGATGGTATCTTTGGAGTTGCATGACTAGGGTCCTGTCGTTCAAGGTCGGTGTCTGGCAAACTGGGGTATCCGGGTGTCGTTGGGTCACCCACGGCTACGGAGAAGAAGTCGACGCTGCCTCGCTGAATTGTTTTGGGATGCCTTGCTGGACCATGAGGATAGGGCTCATAGCCATTCTCAACGGTGTATTCGCCGTCCTCTTGAGGGTCGTTATACAGAATGACAGCAGCTGCCCCGTATTGTTCGGCTGCTCTAACTTTGAGGCCTCTAAAGACCTTGGCATACTTGCATATGACGATCTTGCCTTGCACGGAGATTCCATGAGACTTGAGCAGCTCAAAGTCTTTCAACTCGCCAAAGTTCGCATACACCAATTCGGCGCAGATTTCGCCGTTTGCACTGAAGCCATGAAAGGCGGGTAAACCGTTTCGAGGAGACGACGTTGGATCCTCTGACACCTCATCCTCTGTCAGGGATGCCTTGAAGTCTATCTGTCCATCCGGTGCAAGTAGATGCAGAGCTTGAGACTTTGGAAAGTTTTGCAGGACCTCGTATTCTTCCAATGCGGCCGGGATTCCGTACGAAATCCATAGATCCCGGATGCGTTCTGCGTGGGCTAGGTCCCCGGCTAGGTGGGGTTCTGCGCTGTACAGTTTTGACCAATGGCGAAGTTTCATGGTGTCAGGCCACTCAAGCATGAGCTTCTCAGCTTCATGCTGTGATACCTTGATCTCCATGAGCTGGTATATTAGTAGTCTGGGAGTTGGTATGCTAGATTGAGGTTGTTGCTGCTGTAGTTGTTTTCTCAATGAACGCGGTTGCTGGATTGGATGTTAACTTTGACCAAAAGCGAAGCAGATTTGGCAGGGTTTTTGTGCCAATCCACTACTCGTGTCATTGTTCAGCCCCCAGCCGATTGCGGGGATACCGGGTTTTGGAGATCCTGACGGTGATAAGAACAACACTGGCCTCCTAGGTTAGGTGGAAGCCAAATCTTATGTGATGAGATGAGGTGATGGTTTATTATCCCCTGAAAAGGTGCCTGAGAAAGTAAAATCTACTCCTGCAACTCTGATCTGCTGCCACAATACTATTCAACTTCACGTTGCAAATAACGGCTTGATCTTCTACGGTCCATCCTGATCACTGGTCACCACCTGCAGCATAACGCAGAACGCGAGATGGATTGCATAAAATGCCGATCCAAGATAGTGCAGTAGTCATTTGATATAAATTTCAACCACAGATATCGACGATCAGACGCATGAACATTCTGATACAGTCAAGATAGTCCGGAATGTCTACTTTCTCATCTGGCCGGGTATTGTACTTCCCTCCAGGACCACAGACAATGCCTTCCATCCCCAAAACTTTGAACAGATGGCCAGCGTCGGATCCATAAAAACAAGTCGGCGCAAGAACCCCTGTTGGCTGCTCGGAGTTGCGAACCTGGTGGTAGGCCTTGTTCAGGCCTCTCACTATCGGCGAGTCTCTTGGCACCTCAAATGCCGGCATGGTAGGCTCAAATCGCTGCTTGACAGTAGCCGACATGCCAGCATAATTACCAATTACCGTGTCCACTAGTTCGCGAATATCAGCCATGACACCTTCTTGTGTCTGGCCAGGAGCGTAGCGCGCACTTCCAGCAAGCTTGCATACGTCCGCGACTTGGGCAGGTCTCCATTCAACCAAGTCTTTCCCAAGGGCACCATGAACCACGCCCACTGAGCATCTGTTGCACTTTTCATGCTCACTGCTCTTGACTCCGCGGAATTTCATACGTGCCATCTGGGGAATAAGCTCACATGCCGCCAGGATCGCATCGGATGCTTCCTCCTTGGCTGACATGTGTCGAGTGACTCCAACAATCTCAATCTCGAAGACTAGAGCTTCCGCGTGCATTGTGACTGCTTTTATATCCGACGGTTCGCAGTTGACAAAATAATCGGCATTGATCTTTCCTTGATCAATCAGAGCCTTTGTACCAACGCCTCCCTGAAGCTCACCAACCACATAGGTCAGGACAACATCACCTCTGGGCCGCCAGCCGGCCTTAAGCAGCGCTTCAACGGCGCAAAAGTACGCGGCACAGCCAGATTTCATGTTACTGACCCCAATGCCGTAGATAAACTCGTGATCAATCTTTCCCTCCCACGGATCGATCGTCCAACCTTCGGAGACAGGATTTGTGTCTAGATGTCCGTTGAAGAGTAGCGTTTTTGGGACTTTGTTGCTCGCTGCTGACACTGAATGGTGGCCCTTCCAGATCCCTACCGCATTTTGACGGCGGCCATGGTCGAATGGGAAAATATCCGACTCCAGTCCAATCTTTCCCATTTGCTCGGCCATAAAATTCGTTGCCTCTAGCTCACCGTCGGTTTGCGAGTAACTCTTGATTTGAATGAGCCTTGACAACAAATCAAGGCAGTGAGCCTGATCGATGTCTGGGACCTGCATGATTTGGCGATATATCTGTGGTTTCGAATTGTAGTTGCTTGAAGACGGATGATTGGTTTACTGATAGGCCCTGAACTTCGGCAAGCGTTGCATCTAACACAGAAAGTCAATGGCGATGGGCAGTGCAAAAGTTGGCGACCACGTGTCGTAGGTTGCCCAAAGTCGACTTAATGGACCTGTCCTTTACTGGGGATTGAAGGATTGGAGTGGGCGCCGAGAACCACTCGGAAGCAGATCGGTGTACTTGTCCGATCGATGTGTCAAGTTTGTATGAAGTGAAATATTCAGAGTCTTATCGGCCGCTTTGGCTTCCCCGGCGATCCACATAGAAACTAGGTACGCGGGGACGTTGATACAACCCCTGCATGTTAAGCTTTCAAGCGGAAAAACAGGCCCACCATCTTTGTCTTGGAGATCTTGTCCTTGTAATAGGCGGGGACGCGATACAAACCCCCTCAAGAAGTTTTCCGAGCGTCGGGATAACAAGATCGGAGTAGTTGCCCGCCGGCAAAGGAAGCCACATCTTATCAGCTACTCCAAGACTCAAAGCTAATGTCCGGCTGACCGGCACATCGTCTACGGCAGGGGAAAAGAAGATAAATGTTTTTCCACCGATTGATAGGTCATCAGTGACTACTTGTATCTACATGTTGTGGAGTCATTCATTCAAGCTTACTCAAAGGTGCCACAATTGATAGCAACGTCGGCTTTTGCGGGCCGAGTCAGTGCATCTATCATGCTCAAATGTTCGGATGCAGCACGATTACCCATGATTACGGAGATTCAGCTCTCGACAAATGTGATTCCAGCGTAGATATTAGACCACCGAGCCAGATATCGCAAAGAAAGGTCACATAGCTTGTTTTCCATTCTCAAAGTTCGTCCCGGAAAATGAGTGACAGCATCGAAGCACCAGCCGCAGCGGCTGACACTGCCAGCGGCCATGAGGTCGCTCTCAAAGGACAAGTCGCTGATGAAGGTTACGATATTTTCGAGGAAGGCATCGCGCACTCCGTGCCGCAGGATATTGCGGATGCTGTTAGGCGCAAAATTGATCGCCATCTTCTAGTGTTGATGTGCTTGCTGTATGGCCTCAACTATGTCGACAAAGTTGCAATGGGATGGGCAGTGTTATTCAACTTCCGCAAAGACCTTGGTCTGGTGGGAGATGAATATTCATGGGCCAGCTCCATGTTTTACTTGTTAGTAATGACGATCAACTCTGTGGATTCAGGAATAAACTGACCATCTACAGCGGATACCTTGCCGCGCAATACCCTGCCAATTATTTGCTCCAGAGATATAAGACAGTCCGGATTCTCAGCTCTGCCGTGATTATTTGGGGTGTGCTAATGCTTGCGTGAGAATCCAGCCCTCCTCAAACATTCGTTGTCGTGTAATTGACTAATTATCGGAAAGCCATCTTGGCCTGCGAAACTTTGCCGGACTGATGGTAGTTCGCTTCCTTCTCGGTGTAGCTGAATCGGTGGTAACTCCTGGCATTTTGTTGTATACCTCTATCTGGTACACGCGAAAGGAACAAGTCTTACGTACGATGCTGTGGGCTGCTATGCAAGGAGCGTTTTCCATTGTTTGCAGCTTGCTGTCTTTCGGCCTAGGCCACATCACCAACACCGCCTTGAGACCTTGGATGTACATCTTCCTCGTCCTAGGTATTCTTAGCATACTGGTAGGGATCCTCTGGATCATATTCATGCCTGAGACCCCCAACAAGGCCAAATTTCTCACTCACGAGGAGCAAGTCATTGCCGTACAGCGTGTTGCGCAGAACATGACTGGCATCAAAGGGTACGAATGGAAATACTACCAAATGTGGCATGCAGTGATCGATGTCAAGACTTGGCTGGTACTGGCATTTGTTCTCTTCACTCAACTCCCTAATGGCGGCCTCACATCATTCGGAAGCCTGGTTATTTCAGGGTTTGGCTTTGATGCTTTCCGAACACTGCTCATTGGTCTCCCTTCATCCATTGTTAGTGCTGGTAGCATGATTATTTGGGGAACCATTTCAATCCATTACGGAAACCTCCGAACATGGGGCATGATCATACCTCTGCTGCCTGCGATTGCAGGAATTGCGGCCGTCTATGCGACCATGGATACGGGGGCAAACAAGTATGGGAGGGTAGTTGCATACTGGCTGATCAACTCGTACGCTGTAACAGTGAGTTCTCGACCTCTCTTGCAAGTGGAAAACCTCGTACTAACATGCTCTCACAAGTGGCCATTTGTTTTGACTATTGTCGGTCAAAATGTCGCAGGCCATACTAAGCGGGCATTTACTAACACGATGCTCCTTATGGTCTTCGCTGCAGGAAATATTGCTGGTCCATTCTTTTTCCGCAGTCAAGACGCCCCAAAGTACGTTCTTGCTATTGCGGTCATTTTGGTTTGTTTCTGCGCGGCGCTTTTGACTGCGATTATCTTACGACTGTACATGGCTTGGCAAAATAGGCGCCGGGATAGCAAGTATGGTAACGCTGATGGGGTCGAGGAGAAGGTTGACGGGATGAGGCTTGGAATGCACGATAAGACAGACTTGGAGAACTTGGATTTCAGATACGTTCTCTGAGATTGAATGACACGGCCCGCAACTTCTGCCACAGAAACAGAGAGGCGTCAGTAATGTCAACTCTTGAATTCTCTCCCCAATGGACAAATGGATCGTATGATTTGAACTGGTATTGCTAAACATCCTAGGCTATCAGAGTTGCACGGATTCGGGACAAAGTCAACATCTCATTCCAATCTCCGTTCATCATAAAAATGCCGAGCTCTCGTTAGTCATTGATAAAGTGTTCTGCAATTGAGTAGGCGGAATTTCTTCATGACTGACCGTGGCTGGGCTTAAATATCACCAGTCACTCAATCGCCACCTCGTTGAATTCCATCGTCTAGCATGGCACGCGCATGGCTAGGGAGGCATGGGGTGTGGGAGCTTTCTTCTTCCACTCACACAAGTGACTTCGCCACCTAGGGATCATTCCTCTCCACTCGGACTTCCCATCGACCACGTGGCCCTCATTCGCAGGTCGAATTCATCTGTTCGCCATGGTGACCATCCGTCGATGTCTTGGCGACCTTCCCCCGGAGTTGACGCAGCAGATTGCTTCCAACATCTCGCCTAGCAGCCTCTTGGATTTTCGACAAACCTGCAAGCGATTCAACACCGAGACATTGGATCACTTTATAAAGCATTTTTTCACTACAAGATGCTTCATTCTGGAGCGACGGAGCCTGGAAAATCTGGTCGAAATTTCCCGTCACGATGTGTTCGGCCCGGCTGTTCACCGCCTACACGTTGTTCTTAATCATATCTCGACGAAACACGAGACATTGATGTTCAATGACTCTTTCGCATTGTTCGAAGTAGATCCTGGACCTAACTGGGAAGCGCATCAACGCTTCTTGGATGAGCAATCGGACATGGCTTCTACTGGCCTTGACATCGCCTACCTATCAGCCGCCATGGCCAACTTCATCAATTGTCGGGCAATCTATGTTATGGATTGGGGATCCAGTGAGCAGGAATCACCACCTTGGGGTCTTTCCCAACTGGAAAACGAGATCCGCTTCGAGCTTGAACCATGGGTTATGAGACCCAGTGGTGTTGTCTTTGCCAAGCGTGCAATCGTGGCATTGCTATCAGCAGTCATAGGAAGCCGCCTAGCACTCGAACGCCTTAGGATCGACCTCGCCCATTTCCCATTCACCCAATTCAGTGTACCAAGTTCGCTTCCGCACACCGCACTGTGTATTCCGCAGCTATTGGCAATTCGAACGCCTGACGCCCTTCGTCATGTTTCAACGCTGCATTTACTACTCTCATCCGAACACATGGAAGATATTGAGCTTGGGTTGGTGTCAAATGGCTGGGCTTCGGATGTTGCAGACTTTATCCATCTGTTCCCATCCGTCTCCGACCTTACCCTCCAAGTTCACACACCCAGGGAAGATTCAAACTACATCAACCTTTGGGAGATCTCTACAATATACATCCCTGTCTTGAAATCCCTGGTCCTCTCAGGCTTCGAAGGTGAGGGCGGAGATTTGGTTGATCTGTTGCGCCGGCATGGTGCGAGCTTGAACGACCTGGATTTGGGAAACATCAATCTGGTCCAGAGCGAGAGCAATTGGTCAGATATCGTTCAAGTTGTGCGAGACGAACTGGGCGATTGCAAAATTCAAATAACGGACTGTGAATTTGAAGGCCAATATCTGGAGATCGCCGACTATTCCTGCGCTGATTTCTCTTCATTTATTGCTTTCTTGCAAGCAACAACCCGCGAAGAACTCACCGAGCTCCATGACAAGGTAGTCGATTTAGAGATTTGAGTGAACCCGAACACTTCCAAGCAGGTTAGATTGAGTGTGTATATTCTCCTAAGACTTTCCAAGGGCTCGGAACACTGCCTAGTAGAGATGACTGCCGTTGTCCAGAGAATCTCCATTTCTTCTCTCAACACAGTCTACCAATACATTTACTCGTCAACCTCCGGAGAAAGTGCCAACGATTTCGGAAATTTTGGCTGCAGAGATGGTCCTGATCGCCGTTCCCGATCCTCCGGTGTTGAATACAGTTGGCCACAGTACCCATTGGGTTGTTTTTCTTGCCTCGCTCTGTCAGAGGAACTGATCAATCGCTGCCATTTGACCATCTGCAGATGCATGTGGAAAATAAGAAGATTATCACTGGGCGCGTCCCAATCATTCCAGTCTTCTCCGTGGCCATCGGGCTCATTGAAGAGGTCGTTAATCATTGGCAACCTAGTGAAGCCCCTATACAGCTCCTCAGTCGGTCGTAGATAATCCTTGCTCCACTCGTACTGCTTACGAAACTCGATTCCCTCCTCCTTTGCACGCCGCTCGATATTCTCCAGATAGAACTTGTTATAAGGTAGAAGCGCGGCTTCCCACTGTTGTTGTGTTGGTGTCATTCCATCGGAAAGCTGGAGGAAAAGTTGTCGGTGGCCCCCAGCTATGCATGCGAGTGTGACCTTGTGCTTCAGGTCAGATTGGCGCCATGCAAGCTCGCACAAAGTGTCCTCATGCGGAGAGTGAGGACACCGGAAGAATTCCGGGAGTATTTCGCCGTTGACTTCGCTATCGATGCGGGGAGAGATCGTCGTTCATGATGAATCTTGCATGGTATGCTTGCCTAACAAGCGTGTTTTCGTATTCCCGTGGTAAAAGCTCATCGATGCATGATTCGAGCCTTCGCACAAATGGTGTGTGATGGTAGGCACCGCGGACAACGGCCGTGATCTCATTCGGAACCGCAATTGGCCGTCTGAGGCGCGCGTAACGATCAATATTGCCGTCCCATGCTGCCATGAGAATCAAAATGTCCTTATTGATAGGAGGCAAGTCTCTTGGCAGTAGATTGTGAAGTAGGTTGATGTACTCGGCTTGTAACTTCGAACAACTAGGCCCATCACATGTATAAGAATTTGAAGTGATGTTCGCGTCCTCTTGGATATCGAAGTAGTTAGATGTCCAAGTTTGCAAACGGGGTCCCGCTCGGAACCACCTTTGATTTGTACCGTTTGTCTACGAGGTTTCAGAGAAGATCGAACAGCGGTGTCCTCATTGAGACAAGCTCCTGATCATGGGTTCTGTAGATCCACAGATCGATAGTAGTCGTTCATGACAGCAAATCGCACAGTTTGGCTCATGATATGGTCAAAGATATCGAGATTGCCGTTGTCGCGAGCTTCCTCGGCAATGGAAATATCCGGTAGCAGGTTCAATTCGTTGTATCACTCTCGATAACCTGCAACAGCACAGGCCCGTCCAATATGATATCGCATTTCAGGGTAGCGGTGGTAAGGCTTTCGATAGGTGTCCTCCGTAGCAACATCGGGATACCAAATGCAGTAAGGCATCACGGCCTGGAACGCCATGTCTGGAATAATGTTGCTCATGCTAAGACGTGCGTGGCGGGCCCTGGCATATTTGTTATCAATCTTGCAGACATCGCTGACTTCTGTTGATTTGGCAAAGCTTTCGTGGTGTCGGATGCCATGAACCAGGTACCCATCATGACAATAGCCCAATCTACACAAGGTTTTGCCAGGAGGCAGTATACCCTTGTAAAAAGCCATGAGGTCTTTTCATCTGCCAATTGCAGAACTCGAGAACGTCCTTAGATTTCTTGTCAAATCTTGGCAAGATCTGGGCCATGACCGACGCAGCAGCAAAAGCGCCATGCTGGGTCTGGCCATTCGCAGTTGAGCGTACACAATCGGCTGAATTGAGAAGGAAGCTATCATTGGCAAGTCGTCAAGACTAGAGATTTCAAATTGACTTTGTGGTGTTGAATCGCACCGAGGACAGTAGGCAAGCTCAGCCCGTCGCGTCTTCGCGTACTTCGAGTAAAGTAAAGAAGACGCGAATGGACTTTGCTTTTCCAACAGAAATTCACGTCGGTTGAGTCGGAAATCGCGGCTGGGGTGGGGCGCTGCGCCGCAAGTCTAACTTCACAAAAGCCCGCCGCTCTCCTCTGATAGGCCCTCTCAATGACGTCGTATGAGCCTGGTCAGGTTTCCAAGGTGGGATCTGGTTGGAACACGACGCTAGACGCGATATATAATCCGTATAGTACAAGTATACGACGGAAAACTCTCACCTCCGAGGCACATCCACGGTACTCATGGTAGGAAGGAATACAAGTTGTCCTACTCCGCACTCTTGGCCATGGAAGTGCCCAAACCGCACTGCTGAGAAGGACTGTCTTAGGTTGATTTTATCCTCCACGATGACCTAAGAGTCCTTTTCTTCTACGATAACCAGGAGATCTCTGCCAAGAGTTCCAGTATCTTGTGAGATCTCTCGTAGCCAAGGTATTGATACCAAGTCCTAGCGCCCATCTTGAATGGATGTGCTAAGCTGTGAAAGCCGGGAATGGATGATTCTCTATCGCGAACTAGTAGCTAGTGGATTAAAGACCGACCTCTGTATCGCCAAAGACGCATAATTACAGACAAGGTCTGCAGTAAGCGAAGCCGTTCAGGTTATGGCTCTGATGTTCAAAATGCCTGATTCCGCGATGGATAGAATTTAAGGCTGGCTCGAGATTTAAGGCCCTTCGTAGTTCAGTCAATAATCGGATCTCGTTAGTACACTGTAAGACTTCGCTAAGGCTTTTGATCACAGTCGGCCTTCTCCTTACGCCGCGTGGCGCCGATATAAAAGCCTGTCGAAGGGAACACCGATGGTCGTGGACGAGCAACAGTCTAGCCCCCATGAACATGTCAAGGTGGCAATGGAGATGTCCTTCATCAAAGTCTCAGCTTGAGACTGAGCCACGCGGAGAAATGTGTTGCCGCCAAGATCTTGGCATTATGCTGAAGTAGCTCCTCGTCTGAGATCAAGGAAACGACGCCGTTTGGTAAGACAACGGTCTAAGGAGGTACATGCACGAAGCACATAGCCGCACGTTTGTCATTGGCACTACCATCAGACACACTTTGAATGTCACAGATCGTAATAAGAAAGCAGCAAGTTTCATTCCGCCCATCTTTGGCCTTTCTAGATTTTCCCACTAGCAAGGACACTTTGACTGCGGCTGCAATATGCGATGGCATAAATAGATCGCCTGCTGCCTTGATTAGGGTCTACGGCTTTGTCCTACGAATCAATCTCCTCCTCGGTCCAGTCTTTGTTTATGTACGGAGAGCAATGAATTTCGTGAGCTGGCCGAGATTGCCGGTCATGCTCTGATATTGTCACCTCAGCACACCGGGTGTTGATGGCGACGATGCCAAGCGCGGTCGCATTAAAAGTAGGGTGGGTTTCGGGATCTTATTAGGAATATCAACACCACTTGCAATCCCAGTATGCATGTCGTGGAATTCCAGTGGGCAGAGCCATAGCCCTTCTCTCTCTCTCTCGAGAGAGAGAGAGAATAGTAGTAGTAATAGTATCTAGCATCATCAGGGACAAGGACTAACTAATTAGCTAGGCCCCGATCAACCAGAGCGCCCTTTTCGGCATATGATGTGCCATGCCGTCCCGAAAGGCGGATAGCAAGTCAGGCAATCTATCAATATACCTTCTCTCGAGTCGCTTGCTGCAGTTCGTTCAACTCTCTCAAAGATAATTGAGCAGAGGGTTACCATCACTGAAGCAAGAAAGCGATAGAAAAGGAACTCATCGACGCCGTGATAGGGGCTCTACACGGGAGGGGGCGGAACTGTGGCGTGCGTGTAGACTAAAGACGAAATAATTATTGTCTATTCAGAGTACGATAGAAGATGGATTCATACTGCCGAGGGACTTTCGGGGAGCTAAACAGTCATGAAGAAACTATGCATGGTCGACTACATTCACCGCTACGAGAAGGATCAAAACCCGCAAGTTTCTTGACCATGTCAAAAGGTCCTCGTTATTTTAAGTGTGATGAGTGAGACCTGATCGAATTGCGACCAGGAGATACCACATGATGGCAGGAGAGGCCTTTTTTGTTGGCCAAACAGGCTCGCGGAATCTCATTCTTTTCGATGATGTAGTGGTGTCGGATATTACTAATCTCTGTGAAGTGCCTAGGTGAAGCTAGCGCGCTCATGTGGTAAATGCGCTACTCCCAGGATCACGATATTTTGATCTTGAAGTTGGTCTGAGCAAATTGAAAGTATCATTACTCCTGATAAGCACTGAAACGTGCAACGTTAGGTCCTGGACATAGATTCAGGATGGCAGGCGACAGCCTCACAATGTCGCCCGGGATCTTGACTTATCTACATTTGTTGTCTTGACGGTCCGGATTGAATCGCCGAGTTTCCCTAAGAATCGTATTATCTCGTAGAAGTCGGCAAAACACCGCCGTGACCGCCACGAGCATGGGCAGACCAAGCAACCCATCTTCTCGAAGAACGAAACCAAGATATGATTGGGCAGAGTTCACCATTAGGGCGGACCACCTTGAGCTGCTAATCTCCGGGGGTTACATTGACCTGCTGGATCGGGCCCAAATCCCCCGCGAGTGATGGCCCTTCCGCTCCCGGGACTCAAAGGTCAAGGCCCTGCTCCTGTCCCAATCCAGGATCTCTAATGTTTCTACGGATACAAAGAATCAGCGAAAAATATTAAGTAGCCGGGTCTCGGATCCACAACCCGCATTTCAAGGTTGTACTGGTGGGACTGATCCGTACAGATGAGTGGGAACCAAGCGAATCAACCATCTCCAAAGAGTCGAAGACTCCAAGCACAAGCTCTTTGCTTGAGTCGCGACTTGGTCTTCTGCAAAAGGACCTTGCCAAGACTTGAAAGGCACTTAATGAGTCCACCGGCGCAGAAAGAAAATCGGCGCAGAACAATCTGAACCGTCCAATCCTAGTGTGCGATTTGATTCTTTGCTGCCCATGGTCGAGGGTGGAAGGCAAATAGTTTTTGCAGCACTGGATCGATGAGTCCTTCATCACAAGAAAGTTAAGTGTAAGAGTGGCTTCTCTGATTCTCAGCTTCCCTGTTCAGTTCACTCTCAAATTCCTGAATTTGTACTGATTGGCATCAACTTGTCAAGCTCCAATGAGCTTATCTCCCAGCCTATCGAGCCAGTACGCTCGTGCTAGCTCCTGGATACGAAGCGGAGGCAGGACGCCGACGGAGAGGACCATCATGAAGCAAGCTACAGGCTGCAGGCCACGAGGCGGGGATGCCAAGTTCAACCCCAGGACCCCGGTAACCAACGTATTCGCGGTCGTCATTTTGCAGCAGCCGTATGCTTACGGCATGGTTCGGGCGGAGCAGGGCAAATGAGAATGAGAATGACCCCTTGGCACTTCTGTCATATATGATGCCGGCGCCAATCACTCTCATGGACGACGCAACTCGACGTCCTTGGCCTCCTCCTGCTCTCCATCGACGGCCATCCTTCACCTATAGCCCGCTTGCTCGTGTTGAACGACATCATCATGAAGACCACACAAGCCTGCGCTCTTCTCTTGCTCGCCCTTCTGGGTGAAGCCTGTCTTCTCCCCGGAGAAGCCTCCGGCGGCCGCATCGCCCGCCGCCAAAACATGAGCTCCAACAACACGGGTATTGCCATCGGGACAGGCGACCGCTTCGACGGCGGCAAGAAACTCCCCCGCGGTCTCGGCATTCAACCCGCCGGCACGAACCTCACCACCCTCCTCAACGTCAACGAGATCAAGAGCGCCGTCAAGGGCCTGGTCAAGGAGTATGGCCTTGAGTACTTTGAGTCACCGTACAAGACGTATGAGAATGCCTCCTTCTTCGGTGCCAAGATTGGCGGCGAAGGCGGGAACTGCAGCGACGCGCACCACGTGTACTTCAACGCAGCCATTCATGCCCGCGAGCGCGGCTCATCGGATAACATCATTTACTTCATCTCCGACCTCCTGTACGCGAACAAGCACGGCGAAGGGTTGACGTATGGCGGCCGGACGTACACCAATGATGACGTGAAGCGCGCCTTGTCAACCGGCATTGTCTTCACGCCGTTGAGCAACCCTGACGGCGTGGCGTATGACCAAGCCACACACAGCTGCTGGCGTAAGAATCGCAACCCGGCCGCTTCGGGGGGTAATCCGGAGGCCATTGGCATCGACCTGAACCGCAATTTCGACTTTCTCTTTGACTTCCCCAAGAGTTTCGCGCCCAGCGTCGGGCCCAACGTCGCTTCGGAAGACCCGACTGAACAGACGTACCACGGCGCCGCGGCGTTCTCGGAGCCCGAGTCGAAGAGCATCAAGTGGGTGATGGACCAGCACAAGAATGTCAAGTGGTTCCTCGACATCCATAGCTACATCGGCGTTGTCTTGTACAACTGGGGCAGCGACGAGAACCAGCTGCGCCAGCCGTACATGAACTTCAAGAACGAGTCGTACGATGCCGTCCGCGGTCTGATGCCGGATACACCGTCCAACAATGGGGTCTACGGCGAGTACATCCCCAGCAACGACTGGTCGGAAAAGGTCTTCGCGGCGATGCGAATGGGTAACGCCATGGACGCCGCCACCGGCCGTCACTACCAGGTTGAGCAGAGCTCGTATCTGTACCCGACTTCGGGTTCTAGTGATGACTACGCCTACTCGCGCCACTTTACGGACCCCTCGCTCGGTAAGATGCACGGATTCGTGGTTGAATTTGGCTTTGGTAATGATGAGGTGGACTGCCCTTTCTACCCAACGCCCAGCCAGTATAACTTGAATCTGCTAGAGACAAACGCTGGCTTCATGGAGTACCTGCTCGCCGCGGCTGATCTTGGCGTGGGCGAACCAGCTTCCTGCGCAGCATAAGTAAACCGGCTTTGCGGAAATGTAAGAGGGAGAGGGATATCAGCGGTGTGGACTCCCACTTTGTCTCTATGGTGAACAAGATGTTGACCCATCATCCGGAGACGGAAGGAGTCCCGGAGCAGATCCCGAGACATTTGTCAGGAGGACGCGTCTGGTGATTATAAATACACAAACGTCGTGAAGATAAGCATCTACAAAATAATATGTAAATCTTGTCGAAATTCCTATGTGTCAGTTAATCGCCGAAGAACCTCTCCATTTCGCATTCCTCATAATCCTATTCTACTAACATCAGTCACTTACTTTGCCCTTGACTCCATCGACGATACAGGCACCCAACCTTTGATCCTGGCTAAAATACCGAGAAAGACTCAATTTGAGGTGAGTTCAGCATTCATCAAGAGCAAAAATCAAAAGTAGTTGCTATGACCGCGGCAGGGCTCGAACCTGCGACCTTCTCGGGATCTTGTGCACATGGATGTGAACGAGAAATCATGACCACTAGAACACACAGCCGGTGATTGAGAAAAGTCGAGAACGTTGAGGGCTAAGAAACGTCAGCAGGAAAAGACTCCACTGACCCCGCCAAACCACACCCCACCATATCATCACGACCCTCCTCAGACGAAACCAGTCACCTCCGCCAGCAATGACGCCCACCTCGAAGCCGACGAGAGAGCCTTTCCGTGTTTTGGCCTTCAGCAAGACCTCTGGCTATCGACACGATTGCATTTCAGCTGCTGTCTCTGCCGTGAAGGCCCTTGGCGAGCGCACGGGGCTCTTCACCGTCGACGCCAGCGAAGACGCCGAAGCCTATATCAATCCTCAATCCCTAGCAACGTACGCGACCGTCGTGTTCCTTCATTGCACGGGTGCATTCCTCAATGTCGAACAACTCTCGGCTTTGAAGGGCCACGTGAACTCGGGCGGTGGATTCGTAGGGGTGCATGCCGCCGCGTCGGGATTGAGGGAGGATGAGTGGTATGGCAAGCTCGTCGGCGCGCATTTTGACCAGCACCCACCGCCCGAGGAGGGCACTTGTGTGATTGAAGATCCGGGGCATTTCATAATGCGTCGTGGAGGCGGAAACCATTTGGCGGAGGCGTGCAAGGACGTTCGGAAACAGTGGACGGACGAGTGGTACAACTTCCTGTCGCATCCCAGGGACAATGATAACCTCCATATCCTGGCTCGGGGCGACCCGACAAGCTTCAATGGCGGTTCCATGGGGGACGATCACCCACTTGTGTGGTGTCAAGAGTTCGACGGTGGAAGATCGTTCTATACGGCCCTGGGCCACTATGAACAGGCGTACGAGGATAAATGGTTTGTTGGACAGATCCTCAGGGCCATTCTCTGGACTGCTCGTCGTGAAGACGAAGTGATCCCCAACGTATGATGTCCTAGAGATGAGACGGAGGAGACACGCTTGGCACTGTTTGTCATGAATCAGTAAACATTACGGATACAGGGCGCGGGTATCTAAAGTAGGAATCTACAGACGGGGCAGAATCAGAGGCACACGCATTGTATGCAAACACGCGACTGACTAGTCCATCATCCCGTCGCCGGGCTCCCCGCTAAATCGGACCTCGATCCTGGACTCGAGAGATTCAGACCAGATGTCGGACTGAAAGTCTGGTATATGAAGCAGGATGCCCAGTTCCTGACTCGTGTACCAACTGGCCCGGTCCAGATTGCCTGAGCCCAGCAAGAGGAACTCCCTGTCGACGAGCGTCATCTTCAAGTGCGACACGACCGGCTCCTCTGGATCCCGCACCGCCGTCGCCTGCAGGTTCGGGCGGTAGTAGTAGACGTCGAGGCGACCTGGCCGTTGCAAATGCGACTCGGCGTCTACCGATCGTTTCCGGCTCCACTCTGCGCAGGCCTGGCCATATCGCTTGACGAGCGAATTGAGGGTCCATTCCGTCGTTGTGCAAGCCGTGACGAGTTGTTCGATTAGCATCATGTTTTTGCTTGTCCTGATACGGACGCTGACACCGCGACGAAGTGCCCCGAGTAGTGCATCGACGACCGCTCGGCAAGTCAGATTCGGCGTCACGATATCAATGTCGGTTCGGGCACAAGCGAATAAAGACAGCAGAGCCGCGTTGAGGGGTGTGATAGGAGCGGTGGTGCGCCGACAGACAGGAACGTAGCGGAAGCCGGGGTACCAGTGATGAGATGAGGGTAAGATCAAAGTCGGACATGGCGGGAGACTTGCGAGGCTAAGCCGTCGATACGCGGTCTCGTCGTCCGAAGGTGGACTGCGAGATGGAACAGCTCGGCCAGTGTCTTGATCGACTTGACCTAGCCCCTGGGTTGCCTCACGACCACTGTCATCTTGGAGGTTGGGGATCTCTCGCGCGCCGGCGGCGGGCTCCCAGACATTAGTGTAGAACTTGACGAGTTGAGCAACGGCTGCACCCTCGAACCCAATACAGCCTTCGAACCACGTCTCCCAGCTTACGTTACAGCTGGGCATCCAAGCGCGCTGGCGGTCGACAATGACAAACTTTGGATGCATGACGCTGAAGGGTAAGAAAAATAGGCTCTTGACGGTGAGATCGATGCGGGCCGCGCTGAGGATGCTGTCTGGGGGCAATCCGAGCTTTGGCCACGCTGAGGTTGGGTACGCGTATCCGTCTCGCGACCACGGATGGAATATCTTCTGGAAGAAGCTACGCGACGAAAAACAGATACGAACGCGTAATGGGGTGACGGCATCTTGACCGGACGTCTCGATCGCTTCTCTGCGTCGCTCGGCAAGATGTTCCAGGGTTTCTTTGATGGCACTCAAGGTATCGGACGGAGCCCAGAAGCACGTAACCAGAATCACCTCGTGTTTCGCAACAAGTATGGCCGGGAGGAGAGCGTTTCTGTAGATGCTTGCGCCGTTGCCGACGGTGAGAGACTTGGGGCTACATGTTGTCACCAAGCTCTCGGGATGAGAAACGTGGTAGTTTGGAAAGTCGTCGAGCTGTTCCCCACGACTCGATTTTAGAGAGTGAATCCAATGGTCGAGAAAGGCCGAGGGAAAAGAGTGTGATGTCATGTCCGACTTGATGATTGGTGGTGAGGCTGAAGGTTGTTGTTTGTGAGCATCAGGGGTGCAGGTTCTAACTTGCGAGCTCTCGAATCCCATACGACGTTGGACGGATGACTGATGATACGAGCAACTGGGCTGAAGGCCAAAATGTCGTCATGCCACCGTAGTGGAGGAGGTTCCTTCGTCAGCAAAAGTTACCACAGTGCTGCCGCCTTTGTTGCAGGTATCTTGTCGCCGCAGGCTTCATAGGCTCGTAGCAATCGTATAGTTAGGTACCTGGGTAAGGTAGGTGATGAGTGAAAGACGCAGCTGTCAGTGGCGTGTTTGGGATGGTGGGCGCGCTAAGATGTGAGTGCTGCGATACGCCCGAGGTCGAAATGGCATGGGCCTCCGTGGCCTCGTCATGGGGATCGATTGTTATGCCACTCGTGAGTTTCCAAACATCAGCGCAGGGCAGATGGAACAGCATGAAGAAGGATTGGGCATGGGAGTCTCTAACGGACCGCCGGCTTGATCCCGGCAGCAGTGGATCAAAATTGGCGAAAGATTGAGGCGCAGTCGCGGGAAGCTTCAGCGATGCAGCGACTCTCCCAGTGCGTGATGACCGAGACTTGGAGACTGGCTTTGGCGCTGGCACTGGGTCACTGCCCAGTGCCCACTGGCCTACAGACGGGCGCCCCATGTTGCTGCATTGTTTGGGTGTCCCGTCGGTGACAGAGGCCGGGCGCCGATGGTAAGGTCAGGCTGGTAATTGCGTTGGCAACGCTTGAAAGTTGCGAGTTAAGGGATCTGCAGCGCTAACACGAGCTCAGAGAGCGACATGTCCCAGACAGACGATCCGCTAAGCGGCAATGCATGAGATAAAGCACCCCCAGAGTTCCAGTCGACGGCGAGCCCAGGGATCTATCACCCGTGCCTGGGAACCATTGGTGACGGGACTGAAACGGTCGCTATCAGAACGGATAGGTTAAAACGGAGAGAGCATCTCATAGCCATACAATCGACGCGGTCTTCAAGTCGATCAACGAAAGACGATGAAAACACAGTGGGGCAGTGAGCTATTTCGAGTACATGCTTCGTCACCGAGGCATCTGACATCGGATCGGGATAGTTCGTGCATGTGGTTGTGAGTTGTGAGTAGGCTAGTCGTAATGCTGTCTAACCACTACTGTCCGTCAATGTACTGAGCTTCGTCGGCAATGTGAGTTGAAAGACGTTAAGTCATCGAGGTCAGAAACACCGTGAGAGACTGATTCGTCAAAACGCATAAAGCATATGGCTTGGGTTGTGGGCAATTTCCTCTTCGACAGCCGGGACAGCCCGGGAACCCCCCTCTTGGACAGCTGTCCAGCTCGTGTCAAGTGATCTAGGGCGAAAACAAAGTTTGGACAAGGCCCAGTGTAAATCAAAGGAAGACGTGGACGGATGGTCGGCGTAGGCGATTTGAAGCAACATGGAAACGGCGTCTTGGCTGGTGTCGGCCCATTCCTTCACATGAGGCGACAACGCTGAGCACGGCCGAATGATCCAATGAGGCGACACAAGAGCCAAGAGTAGAAAGAGAAGGGCAGCTTGTCTGGGCCATGCACTTGTTGTCATCGATTTTGTCTTGGGAGCGTTGTCCTTTCATTCGTGAGACCACAGAGCCGCATTCGCACGGGAGATGACCAACGGGCAGAGTGTGGGGTTCGGCTCGCACTTGAAGGCCGTGGTAACTTTATGATGTACATCAACCGGGCAGACTGCGGCGTGTCGAGAGTAGGTAGGGATACTTGCGCTTGTAGCTGCGTGGGCTACGAAGGCGTGGAATGGTCTGGGCCACTGGCGGCGGCTGGGACAGCTTCATCGTTGCTAGAGCCTGGTTTTGCTGATGTGATCACCAAGGCAGGTACCTACCTATTAGAGTTGACCACGTGAGGTCGAGTTATCCTCAAGCAATCAATGCCCCCTTTTTTTTTTCCCGCCGTCTTCAATGTGTAAATGAGTGACATGATGCTACTCCGTCCTGTGCATGAAGTCGTACCGGGTAAGGTAGTTCCAGTATCAACCTCCCGAGAGTGACATAAGGCACTATACTGCGTACATGGTAGAGAGCTTTGAGGAACTGTTGAGTGAGTGTGAAGCGGATAGTATCGGATGCGAGAGCTGGCCGTTCAAGTTTCTGCCGCAATGCGTGCTGCGTCACGCTGAATTTTAGTCGCGATGGTGAGCCGAAGTCAGGCCGCCTCCAGCTTGACCTAGGAGGCTCGGGAATTGTCTGGTCTGCCGATTCCAATCTTCCGTCTAGTGTGTCCCAAGCCGCCGTCACTGAGCCCGGACAAGACCTCCGATGTGTCCGCTTGTTTGCCAGTTGGACCTGCAGAAGACAGTGGACCTCTGAGGGAGGAACAGGAGACTGGTGTGGTCCCACCCAGTCCCCAACGACCCCGCCACGTCCGTCTCGATTTGGGACAGCCATTGCTCCGTGTGGGTGGTCGCACGGTGTGTGGATGAGATCTAGGTCGTGTTCCTGGATCCCAGCTCACTGATGGTCTGGGCTGCGGGACATCTTGAGACTGACTGGCTGACAGGTCACTGGTCTCAAACCGTAGGGGGCGGATGATTGGACGGACGCAACAAGCGGCGCGAAAGAAAAGCCAGCGCTAGGGTTCGCCAGGACTTTTGACGGAAGAGCGCGGGATATACCAAGATAGCGCATTATTTGTATGAGTGGTGTTGAATCGACGTGTCCCGCGACACGATGCCGAAAATGTGGTCGACGCAGCAGCCCATCAAAGACCGGAAGAGACCCCAATTGTAACGGCAAGTGTGTGAGACTGTGAGGAGTGGTGCCGGCCCACGAGGGACGGAGATGTGGGCTCTGGAGAAAAGTCTGGAGAAACCAAACATGTCGGGAAACGGCAATGGCATTTTTTGTAGATACCATTGGCCCAACGGCTTGGTCTCGACTGGCATCGACCCAGGCTTGAAGCAGGAATCAAGAAGGGCGGCTTGGACGCTTATAATTCGTTGGCGTTGTCCCTGGGGCGCTCCGGGGAGGCTTCTGAGGTCGAATACCCTACTGTACTTTGCAGGTTGGATAGTCGATTGCAGCAGGCTCGATGGGTTAGCCAATGGCAATTGTCGCCTGGAATGTCGAATGGGTGGTGTGACTGGGTTCATCTGGCAATATGGGCGCTTCCTTGGCCGATGAGGGGACGGAAAAATTCATCAGATAGGGAATTTCGCAGGCAATATTGCATCTTGCATCTTGGTTGACACCAAGTCCGAGTCGTTGACAAACAATTCCAGAGACGGGAGTGGCAAGATTGGATGCTGCCAGGTTGAGGCACGTGGCTTGCCCGGTCCAGGCCCTTTTGCTCCTGCCTCGCGTTCACAATGGATCGTTCTTGCCTGCCCCCGATACTGTGACGTTGTCTCGGGAAGCAATTGGGCTGAGCGAACCCGGAACCGGCAGGAAGGACGATACCCGTAAAAAGGGCTGTACCTGCCTCTAGTCATGCTCTTTCACAGGTTGTCTAGAGTTGACAGTGAGGCGAGTACCTTCTATATTTCCTACCTAGGTATCTTACGTTGAGAAAGGGACTTCCATTGTCCGTACCTTATGTGTTGTACATACCTTTTCGAATGTCTGGCACCTCTGCTACGTATCTAGAGGAAGACAAGCACGTAAAGGTAAGCACGTAAGTACGCAAGGTAGGGCAGGTACCTAGTTGCTAGCCCCTCCTCCCTCGGATTTGATGCCTCCACTGGCCAAGTTGCTGACAGTGACACGCAATTCGAGACCTCTCCACATTGGACCCCCCTCGACTCCCTTCATATCAACTCAATGGCTCTGGGAGTCTACTGTCTGGGACTTGGGTTAGGGGGACTATTACGGAGCAGAAAGACACTTTGATTACACCGTCCAACAAGTTAGGTAGACTCTCATAAGCATCCATACGGATAAATCATAATTGCCTCCGCCACCTCGTGCAGCACTGCAGCCGGCTGCAATCGCTCTCCCCGCCAGGTTCCATCGCTAGGGTGCAACATGAATGGGATTGGGACATATTGGTACAGAACTGCAGATTCGACGGTGCGGGTTGCAGCTGCCAACCAGCCTGGCGGTGGCCAACGCCATCTCCAAGTCTCCAACAGCCAACAAACCGCCGAGAAAACTTGCAAGCCTGTGGTTCGAAGACGGGGTGTGCATTAGTGAATGCACCTGCCACGATCCAGGCCCTGCTTTACCTTAGGTACCTACTCGACTGCTCGTGCTACCTTACTGGGTTCTGTCCTAATCCAGCATGGCTGTTGCAGAAGCGAGAAAACACTTTCCATACTCGATGTGAAGAAAACCGTACTCAGGCGAAGCCATTGCCTTCCTCTACGCGGCCAGTGATGGAAGCATTGTCAACAGGTAAGTACATCTCAAATGCACGTTTCCTTGGATGTAAAAATACCGTGCCTAGCCTTCCCAACCTGAAGTGGTTTCCTGTGTCCGCAGCACCTGGAAGGTACGTATGGATGATACCCCGCCTCCAATCTCTTTCCATTCTCGAACCTGAGATAGTGGGGCCACTTCCCACCCGACCCCCTCGCCCCTCGGCGGTTGAGTGTGGTCCCTTCCATTTCGATTTTCTGGTCCACCCTTGCAACCAGAATCCCCGGCGGTTTACCATGTTTTTTCGTGTCCCAGATTCCTAGTCGCAAGAAACGTTCGGAGCATGCATGGCTGAATGGAAATGGGACTGAACAACTGGGAAACGAATAATTGGTATACGGATACATACTAAGTAGTCGTGGCAATGTGCTGTTTCCCCGTGCGAATGAAGAAAGAAAAAAAATAAGTGCACTCGGGTGCTAGCTTAGCCATGGCACAGGAAAGAACGGGGGCCTCAACATACGGTAGGTAAGGTAGGTGCTGTGGTCTGAAATAACCGCTTGTTCACGAAAGCCTCGAATTTCAGAGGTATCTGTACCGAACAAAACTGAGATACGTTGTCAAAACTCTGAATTAGAATACGGACGTGTCCCTTTACCTCTGGTTGAAGGTTGAAGACCGACCTTGCCGTGACGTCCAGTCTCTCGACATGCCAGTGGTCCCTTTCCCTCCCCCAAGCTTTCCAGACCTTCCCTTCCCTCCCGGGGAGTGACACCCAACCACCCCACTCGATACGTACCTGCATGCCTTAGCTCACGCCTTAGCTCGCCTCCAAAACCCACCTCCCGCAACAGAAGTTCAGAAGAACAAGACCACCTCAGTAAAACCGCCCACCACACACGCACATAGGTACGAAGGTACCACCGTGACGCTCCACCAGAGCATTGAGACGCACATCAGGACAGTTACGGATTTCCTGCCACGGATGGATACCTTACCTTGCCTCGACGTGCTACTGCCTCTGAATCTACACAGTATTCCTGCGACACTGCCAATTAACCTTCTGCATAGCCCGCACCTGCCTCTTAGTTGTCGTCAAGTTGGTGTCGCTACGTGTGTAAGGTACCGAACTGAACTGTGACCACAAGTGTTCAAGGTACGTCCATGGAACGGTGAATTACCCCGTACATCAAACCGTACGGAGACTATCGATCCATACATCGATTCCACCGTCAGGTTCCTCCTCCAGGTCCTCGTCCCGTTTTGTGAGATCATCTTCTTCTTCTTCCACCATACTCCTTGCCTACCTTATCCCTCCACCAATATCCGTACGGATACAGCTCCCTCCACACACCCCCTTCCACCCCTTCCACGGTCCTCCTTCTTCACCTGCTTCTTCCGCTTGACGGCACATCTCTCCATCCCTGCTCCTTGCATTATCAACCGTGTGTGATATCTTTTGCCACTGCTCCCTTTCCATCTCTCTCTTTCTCTCTACATCTGCTCCCAAGACCTCGTCTTGCGCTCATCTCCTCAAATCAACCCATCCTCCGTCTTTCGTCATCCACCACTCACTCGCTCGTTCGCTCAACACATCTCGCACCTGAACGATTCTCGCAACGACTTCTGCCAACTTCTCCCATTCGTCGTCCTTTCTCTACACCAATCCGTTGAATGCTGGCATCGACCGAACCTACCTTCAACTTGTCATCCTAATCACCCCGTCGACCGTCGAGTATCCTATCCCCTCCTTCAACCGACACCTCCCACTCTCGCAGAGCTTTTCGACGGTTCTTCCCAGCCTACCATATCATTACCGCCAACATGAACTTCACCAAGAAATTCGACCGCGCCTTCCAATGGGCCGGCGAAAAGATGGGATCCGAGTCCAAGACCGGACAGACGGACGAATTCAAAAACTTGGAAATGGAGATGCAATTGCGATACGACGGTATGCCGGGCCTCTACAATCACAGCCGCTTTTACTCAACGAGGCATTAATATTGTTTTGCGCTAGGAATGGAACGACTTCAAAAATCCACAAACACCTACGTCAAATGGGTTGCCCGTCGTGGTGAGGCCTTCGACGACAAGGAGAAGGGCCTCCCAATCGCTTTTGTCGGGCGCATGATGATTTCCCACGGCGAGGAATTCGAGCCCGACTCCGAATTTGGAGCCTGTCTGCTCTGTGAGTTGATCGATCTCGGATACTATGCTCTATTATGCGAAGCACTGCTAATCATGCAATCCACAGCTCTCGGTCGAACCAACGAACGTCTAGCAGGTATCCAGGAAAGCTATGCCTCAGAAGTTACCGATAACTGGCTTGTCTCGGTCGAAAGATCTCTGGCAATGATGAAAGAGTATCAGGTACGTACCGACGTCGTGGCTCGTCCATACGTGGTTTCAGCCCATCCCATCTGACACACTCTCCGCCAGGCCGCACGGAAGAAGCTCGAGTCGCGCCGATTGGCCTACGATGCAGCAATCAGCAAAATGCAGAAGACGAAGCGCGAAGATTTCCGTCTCGAGGAAGAGCTCCGTACTGCCCGCGCAAAGTATGAGGAAGCTGGCGAAGACGTCATGCGACGCATGTCCGATATCAAAGATGCAGAGACGGACAATGTTCGCGACCTGACTGGCTTGCTCGACGCCGAGTTGAACTACCACGAACGCTGCGCCGAGGAGCTTCGCCGTCTGCGTCAGAATTGGGCGGGCGGCAATGCGCCTCCCTCGCCAACCGATCGCCGTTATGGGAACGGCGGTCGCGGGCGGTCCAACACGGCCCGCTCGTTCAACGATTATTCGGCTCGCAACAACCACGTTGAGGAGGAACCAGAACCGATGCCCGTCCGCATGCCCATCCGCTCCCAACGATCAGAGGTAAAGTTCGGCGCGTCGGCCGACACAACCCCGAGGCCGTCTATTAGTAGGTCTCAGACGTTCCAAGGGCCAGCTGCGACCGACCGACGATCCATGGCTGCTACCCCGCCAGTGCCTGCCGTTTCTCACATTGGATCTTTGCGTGGGAATCTGAGGCCTACCGGTAGACCGATGGCTAGCGATGTGTTTGCTGACGATGATCACACGACGATAAGCGGTAGCGGCAGCCCGGAATGGAATGATCGCAGTGCCAGTCCGGCCACCAGCATGGGAAGCAGCTTGACTCGGAGCACAAGCAACCTGCAAGCCAAGAAAGCACCTCCGCCTCCTCCCCCGAGCCGAGCCAAGAAGCCGGCGCCCCCGGTACCCGCTAAGCGGGAGGTTGGGTACTAGATATACACCGCTTTTCGAGATTCTTCTGCCAAAGATGGCAGTGGGCGGGCGTAGCGATGTGCGATATTTTTGTTGTTTCGGGTCTCAATGCATCAATAGACTGTTCATTCCGTGACGGGGTATAGGGGCTCCCGACAGGAGCAGGGCGTTTGGGCGTGTTAATATCCGTGGGCTGGGATCGCAATCGTTGGTTCCCTCATCGCGTAGCTTCTAAGAAGAATGTATTGATTAGAGATGACCGGGTTCGATTCTCCAGATACTGAGTAAGCATGGATTCTGTTTCCCTGGCTGTTGCCAAGCAAGATTGTCAAAGTTCGTGTCATGAGAGACCTTTGCTCCTAGCCTTTCGGCATGATTCGCTACGTGAGGCAGTATCTCAGAGCCCAACTTTGAGTACCACGGTCATAGAACAACATATCAACGTGACTATGCCACGTTTTAGAGGATCAGAACGGAATGTTCGAAGTAGGCGGCGACCCCCTAAGGCAAGACTGATTTGTGACATCGAGGAAGAAGAAGACTTCCTAAATCGACGAGGGATCGTGGCTTCACCGTGTTCATATCCGTGTTGAAGGTAATTATCCCAGTGGATACCTACCCACATACTACCTATGGCTGCCTTCCTCAAAGTTCAGGTAGGTTATTTCACGATATTGGGGCAATATGTAGGAGCTAGCTACCTTCCCTCACCAGCCACGTCCTGCCCTGCATGGGCGGAGAATTACTGCGCCACATCACGTGGGCTGGCTGTGGCCCGAGCTGTCTCGTGCCTGAGGTGAGCAGGTCCTATGTGCCCGCCTGATGTGCCGGAGCAGGACAGCTCAGCTTATCGGCCAGCATCGATAAGGTCGCTAGGCTTTCTTCCATTCCATTCCAGGCAGGCTCTCTTTCCCACGGTTTGATTTGAGGGTTGTGATGTTGGATCAATCAACCAACTCTCCCCTCTGTTGATGGACAGAAGACGACAGCACCTCCCCTCACCAACTCTCCTGCGTAACGATCGCACCGTCTGCACCGCGCCAACATACGCCTCGTTCGTCTCGCGACCACAGTCGAAAGTACCCTCAATCGATTGCTCGCAACCTGCCAGCTTGCCGCGATGGCAAACGAAGATGCGCGATACCGACTTTCGACACAGTATCGACTGTGGTCGTTCTCCCCGGCCAAACTAGCGGAATTGCGAGACCAGACTAATTCTCTGGCGAAGACCAATATTACTAGTCGCCTTTTGGAAACGAAACGCGTGGACCTCGATGCGGCCGAGTCGATGCCAGAGTTCTTGACACCTCCTGAAGAGACACAACTGCTCACGTTCTTCACCGTGGAGTTGATTCGCGCTGCGGACTTCTGTGGACTCCCAACAGAGGTTAGAGCGACTGCGACCGTTTTCCTCCGTCGATTCTACGTCACCAACTCCATCATGACGTATCCACCTCAGGATATCCTCAAGACCTGTCTGTTCTTCGGTAGCAAGGCTGAGGGATTGTACACCCGCCTGGCTAAGCTGGCTGATAAGTTTCCCAACACAACTGAGGAGGAGATTCTCGCAGGAGAGTTCTTGCTGTGTCAAGGAGTTCGGTTTGCCTTCGACGTTAGGCACCCATTCCGCGCGTTGGAAGGAGCGATTCTGGAACTTCGGCGTCATGCCGACCTCGAGGTGCGTTGTGAATCTCACGTACTAACGCTGCACTTTTTGACACTCTTCTTACGAAACGTACAGAAAAGTCGAATCGATGCCGCTCACTTTCGTGCCCGCGCTTTCCTCAAGTTTAGCTCTCTCGTCACAGACGCGTACTTTCACTACACTCCGAGCCAGATCATGCTTGCCGCACTTTCTTTAGCTGATCGAGGTCTGGCCGAGAAACTCGTCCAAAGCGCCTTTGGACCCGCTCAAAACGGCACCTCGAACGAAGGCGAGACAGACCTCGCTCGACACGACATACGGGATAAGGTTATGGGAACCATCGAGGCGTGTAGAGAGCTGCTAGCGACCGAGCCGCCCGAGAGATTGGACGAGTATTGGGGAACTGTATGCTGAGTTCAAAAGTCGCTCTACTTAAATGGCGGCGAGACTGACAATGAGATAGGTCGAGGCGACGAAGGTGATTAAACCTCTGATTCGAAAGCTGAAAAGGTGCAGAGACCCCGACCGCGCAGATCTTGTGGCCCTGCAAAAGGCTCGACGAGAGTTGGCTTCGCAGAAAGAGACGCGGATACCGAAAGGTGAAGGTGACGGGTCTGTGTTCGGCGGTAATGGTGGAGGACTTGGCGGAAACGAGGCGCGGGATGCCAAGCGACGAAAGGTTACGGAAGGCGACGACGTATTTGGCCCAGCATTGGGTTAACTCTAGAGCATCCTCTTGTTGTTTTCCTGCTTCGGGTGGCATGCTTTGCTTTCGCAAAGCAGAATTCGGGCGCAGCTACGAATGCACATGGCGGAGAGGTGTCGGCGGTGCACGCGGAGCCTCGCCAAGCTCGCGGAGGATGACGGGAGAGACCGACTGTCCTGATTCGGCTTTACGAAGAGATACCCAATATTTTCCCCACGACCCCTCGCGCTTCTTCCGATGGTGAACAACATCGTGGCGATGCCCAGACTTGACAAGTTCCCGAACTCGAAACGCGCCAGCATGCGCCCCTCGCTTGCAACTTGATGGACAGTCGGGAAACAATCGCCGAGAAGTGGTTCATCTAGACACCAGCGGAGGCCTCAACGGATTCAACTCTATTGCACCCTGGATGAATGGACAAGGGCATGGCGGGAGAAAGTGCAACTGCCAAGCAACGGTTCCCAGGGAGAGGAATGCGCCAATGGCGCACTTTATGGAATAAGCGCCAAAGTTGCGATCTGTCAAGTGAATCGATGACGCACCGTTTTGATGATACTATCGTCAATGGCTATAACGCAATACGATGGAGTCGGCACAGCCGGCCTTTAGAGCTCTTGGGTTCCAAGGAGCTTCCCCCATGTCCGCTTGCTTGGCCACGCTTCCCCCATGGCACTAAACCGATCGCGGATACGTGTCTCGATGGATTTTGGGTCTAACCGGAACACCTTGCCAACACCTGGCACACCATGGAGACGAGACACTACTTAGGGCGAAGCCAAGGGGAAAATGGGAATGGCCCGACTGGCCCTGCATTGGGGTCGATTATCCTTCTGGGTATTGCGGGGAAAGCGGCTGCAATGCTACACGAACCTGAACATCTCTCCCCCATCTCATTCGAGTTTCGTCTCGGCTTGACAACACTCGTAGTAGCTAGGCGTTGTCGATGAAAACATGTCGTTTGATGATCCCAGTCTAGGTTCAATGGCAGATTACGGTAACGATAAGCCAAAGTATAGGACGAGTAAAAGAGCGATGGCCTTGAACATCTATAGGCTCGGTTTCGCGCGGTTCTTGCGGATACACTCTATGTTTAAGGTAGTTATGACTAGGTAAGAACAAGGATTGGCATGTTGCCAGCCCGCCGGCACGCATGCCAACCAGGAATACCATCCAGCATTGCACGGCTCGTTGTTCGGCGCCATCGGAGTCTCTCCCGTCTTCAAAGGCGCTAAGCGGTCTATCCTGACGACATCGACTTTTTTCTGTATTCCCCCTCACCCAAGCTGCGCCAGTCGGGCGCAGGCTTACGCAACTTCCAAGACACGACATGCTGTCAATGGCGTCCCAGACTCGAATACCCCAAGCTTCTCGCAGCCAGGCGGTTCCCTGGCGTTCCTCATTGTCTAGTAAGCTTCGTGAAATCAGTCGGCAGAACGCTAATCTGACCGCAACGGGACTCGGAATCGCATGTTCGGACGGGAGTTGTCTCTCAATCACCATCACGGGGTTCGTCTAGCACAAGCATAGCTAGCAGTCTAGGACTGCAGCTGCTACCGATGGCTCTTGAAAGGGGCTTGGGACTTGTATGCAAGAGAACGAAGGTGCTGGCGGGCTTCACAAGAGCTTTTACGTACAGGAGCTGGCCAAAGTTGACCATTGCCTTGCCATGATGTCGGGCCTCGATCATTGCTGGGCCAGTGCAAATCCCCCCCCTGGCGTATACGCCGGCCCAAAACGACTTCACGATCGACTTGGCACCCAGCTGGCGATCCTATTGAACAGCTCATTGGTCCTCTGCCAGCGTCGTGCCCTTTCGCGAGCTAAGGAGGCTTCTCCACCCCCTGGTCTGCGTGTCTGCCCCGGTCCAGTCCAAAGTCCCAGTCCCTGGCGCGGTCGTGATGTCGACCAAGACCCTTGTCGGGGGACAAGAAGCCCTGCAGGCCTGCTAGTTTCTTCACCCAGCCTGGGCAACAAGCTTGATTTGGCTCAATCTGGTAGCCTACGACGACGCGATTGGTTTGATCATTCGTGGGCTGAGCTCACCAAGGTGTTTGGCATGATTCGTGCAAACTCCCGAAGAGGAGCTTTCGCATTACCTTAAATGCTGCCACCTCCACCAGCATGTTTCTGTACTTCAGTCCCGAGCAGTTTGAAATACTTGTGGCCTTGATACCCAATCCATTCGACCCAATAGTATCATCTTCCCGCACGCCAAACAGATACCATGCAGGTCAAGAACATTCTGCCTCTGGCTTTGGCCAGCACTGTGCTCGCCCAGAGTCAACAAAGCTTGACGGCCGCTCTAGCTTCTCAGAACTCTAGCTTGTCGTCTCTCACAGGTAAGCGATCCATCTCCCCATTATCAGTCCTACTCGAACTTGGCCCTATAACGTCTCACAGCACTCCTCGGCACCCAGCCGGCTCTGGTCGAAGCCCTTTCCCAAGCACAGAACATCACGATCCTGGCACCTAGCAATGCCGCCCTCGAGGCATTCCTTGCAAGCCCCGGTGCCCAAGGTGCTGCGACTAATCCCGGCCTCGTCGCCGCGATTCTTCAGTATCACGTCCTGAACGGCACCTACTACGCCTCTCAGTTCACCGAAGAGCCGCAATTCATCCCCACGCTGCTCTCCAACGAGACTTACACCAACATTACCGGCGGTCAGCGCGTTCAGGCCCAGACTGTTGATGGCAACGTCACTTTCTACTCTGCCTTAAGAGAAAACTCGACCGTCACGGCCGGCAATGTCAACTTCACCGCTGGTACCATCCATATCATAGACAAGGTCCTGAGCGTTCCCCAGCCGATTCCTGACACCCTTCGCGCTGCCAACCTCACTGCTGCTCTGGGTGCTGTCCAGGCTGCAAATGTTGGCCCTACTCTCGCCGCCGCAAAGGATCTGACCATCTTCATCCCCAACAACGAGGCCTTCCGCTCCATCGGTAACCTCACTGCTAACTTGACCGCCGCCCTGCCCAGCATTCTCCAGTACCACGTTGTTGCCGGCGCCGTCTTGTACAGCCCCGATATCACCAATACCTCACTGACTACTCTCAACGGTGGAAACGTCACAGTTCGTGTCATCAACGAGACTGTCTACGTCAACGAGGCAGAGGTTCTCATCCCCAACGTTCTTGTGGCCAACGGTGTCGTTCACGTCATTGACAAGTAAGTCGTGCAAGTCATGCTCGCTCGTATTACCCTTACTGACCATCCTCAGCGTCTTGAACCCCAACAACACTTCCGTGGAGCCCGATACCACGGCTTCCACCCGCGCCCCCGCATACACTGGCGCTGGCACTGCTACCGACGGCAGTAACCCCTTCACCAGCGGCATCACCGGCCCCACTTCAACTGCCCCGCTTGCCACTGAGACTGGTGCCAACAACGGTGGTGGTGTCCGCACCACCTCCTCCAGCACTCAGGCTGGCCCCATGCGCACCGCTGCTGTCGGCGCTGCTGCCCTCTTTGGTGGTATGGCTGCTTACATGAATATTTAAATCTACATTATACGACAAAATTCAGGAAAAAGAAGGAGGCAGAGTTGTGAAAATCTGTGCATCGGTTGGAGGCGAAGGCGCAGCTCAGGTTGCAAGTTGATATCAATGGGTTGTAGCCCATGTTCATTCTTTTGATCAACTATACCCCAAAGGATATGAGGAAAGATTGTGGATGCTGAACTGGTGGAGGATTGTGACATGCGACGTAGACGACCGTTAATGGACTTCAATAAGCTACTTCTTAAATGTTAAATGGATTAATACTATTCAAATAGTTACCCAGTAGACAACATAGCAGCACTCCATCTGCAGTCATTTTCGTCGGCACGCCCGTAGCAGGAGACTTCCATGAAGGTCGGCAGTGGCATGGTTTTACATCATCAAGATATATGCAATCACCATGCGGAAAGCAGAATTTTCTTCTTGACACGTTGGATTACTGGCACGGTAAAAATCGGCTCCTGATCCCCAACGTCCGAGGGCCATTCGATTCGCAACCTAGAAGATCGCCCATTCGCTGAGATATTTCGTAACCGAATGTTCGGCACTGATCACCGGAGCCGATGAACGGAACCGATATCGTATCCACATCCGGACCCACCTCGGAAGCCATCCTGCATTCCATTGGAAGCACGAAGAGACAAGTGTGATGTTGACGATGCAACAAGAGAGTGGCAGTAGTGTTCGTCGCGAAGCTCTGACTATTCATAGTAGAGTGCCAACGTTCTATAAACAAGCCAGGAGTCTCGGTGTAATTTTGGCTATTCGACTGACCATGGTAGATTTAAAAGAGATTTTAAAAAAAAATCAACCTGAAAACGTCATCTTTCCACATTGCCATTGCCGGTGCAGCTGGCAACCTCGGACGACCGATTCTCAAATCCCTTCTCAACGCTGGGTTCATCGTCACAGCACTGTCTCGACCTGGCGGTAATGCTTCTGCTTTGCCATCGCACCCAAGTCTCATCGTCAAAGTAGTCGACCTCACCTCGTCCGACTCTCTCCAGCCTGCTCTCCTTGAAATAGACGTTGTCATATCATGCGTTGCCACACTAGCCATATGCATCCAGAAATCCCTGGTAGATGCCTCAGTCGCATCTGAGGTGAAGAGATTCATCCCGGCAGAGTTTGGAATGGACTCTGCCAACGCTCTCTTTGCGCAGCTGCCTGTTCGCGAACCCAAGGTTGCAACACGACGATATCTCCTGCAGATTTTAGAGACGAATCCACAATTTACGTTTACTTGCATTCCCAATGGGCTCTTTCTTGACTGGGGTCTCCAGATGGGGATTATCTTGGATCTGAAAAGGCACACTGCAACATTGTACAATGGTGGCAATGTTTCTTTCAGCGCAACAACCCTCGAAGATATCGCTTCGACCGTGTTAGGTGTCATTCATCATCAGCCAGAAACCGATTTGTATACGTGCAATCGGCGACGCTTACCCGAAATCAGCTAATCGAATTTGCCAAAGAGATTGGTGGTAAGGCTTGGGAGACGGCTATCATGACTACGGAAGAGATATGGCGGCAGGGCCTTGTTGAGATGGAAAAGGGACCTCAGGCCGACATCAATGCTGCGATGTTAGGTTTCTGTCTTTGTGGATCTTTTACGAGTGACTTCAACTGCGATTTCTCAAGCCATTGGGAAAACAACTTATTGGGGCTGAAGGGGCTCACGGAAGATGAAGTGCGGAGTTTGCTAGCCGGCTTATTGTAGTAGATGTACATGATACTTACCAAGCTGTCACTAGGGTGGGCAAGTTAATGAAGTCAAAACGTAGTCACAGGAACAAAGTTGTCATGCGCTATGCATATGCCATATACATACATACATAGTTTATTACGCCCCGGCTAAGCTGTTTAGGGCTCGCATGATTATCTACATATTCTCCACATTCGTTCATATCCTTGCCTCCCAGAAGCCCATACAAGTCTTGTTCGTCTCCGTATGTGTCTTTTTTAGTTTTGCATGTCGATGCTGCGGTTGCTCGTGGGGTTAGTAGCAGGCCATCTCGGAGTTGTTTCTCAAAGTGTTCGACGTCCTATCGTCGGCGGCCGAAGCTAGTCCTGCTGTCGATGGCACGAGGATGCGTGGGGGTGTCTCCGGTTAATTTGATGATGTTAGTTGCGTGTGGTTTCGCTGCTGGCTGATCTGTGCATCTAGCCTCTCCGTGCTCATGGCGAACTTGATCGTCTCTTTGACAACGTCTACGCTTGGCGACCAATCCTTAGGGTCGGACGCGCGCTTTCCTCCCAGGAAGTATGACAGATTTCCTCTCCGCGTTTCCGTCTGTTGGAGCATCCGAGTCCGCTGTGCCGTCCACTGTGTGCATCGAAAGAGAAAATGCTCTACCGTTTCTGCAGATTGCCCGCAAGCGCATAGCGCCGCGGCGGTTGCGCCGATCTGGTAGAGGTACCAGTTCAGCCTTGCCATTCCGGTGCGTAGTTGCGCTAGAATGCTGGCTTCTTTCCAGGCCAGTCCGTCATACAGCTTGCGTGTGTGGTTTCCCGGCAGGGCTATGTCGATCTTCTTCGAATATGCTCCTACGTTGTCGGGCAAGGCTCCGTGCTTCTGTCGCACGCTCTGTAAAGCGATCCTAAGTGCCGTCGAGTAGGCTCTGGCCGGCCGTTTTTGTGGTGTCTTGTTTACTTGGGTACTTTCCTTTGCTGCTGCTTTGGCCGCTTGCGCCAGGTCTGACTCTATCGATGATGGAAGCCAGAAGAGAGTGACTCTGTTGCCTCGTCTCTGCAGAGCTTGCACGCTGGCATATAGTTGTCGGATCTCTTGTTGGCCTGACTGCTGCCGCGGGTTGTGCATCACCAACACTGCCGCTTTGTTGCGGGTGAAGACGTGGATGGCCCGGTACTCGAGTCTCTCTGGGAGAGACTTGACCGCTTCTGCCAGTGCCGCTAGCTCTGCTACATACGGGTTCTGCTCCGTTCTCTGACCGAACGTACGCGAGGCCGTCACGACGCCACCGCCCCCTCTGAAAGATGCGGGCAGCGTCGTCGCCGTTCCAAAGCCCACAACCTCGTTCCTTGCTGAGCTCCCTGTCGCTATCCTCACTGCCCATCCAGACCGGATTGCCTCAGAGGCCTTGACCGTGTCGTCGTCGACTACTGTATCAATACGACGTTCCCAAGGAGCGATCGAATACCCTTCGATAGTCTCCAGCTTGTCAAGGGGTAGGTCGCGATAGGCCTCCGCCATCAACTGGAAGGGTGACGGAAACCGTCTAAAGGCCACCGCCCGCAGACGTCGAAGCGGATGGGTCTTGGGAAGGCTTCGCAGCCGTACCCAGAATGTCGTTGATTTTCTGTCGTACCTCTCTTGCGCCGATTGTATGCTTGCCTCCGCTTCAGCGACCGCCGTGGCCACCGTGTTGAAGGTTCCCACGATCGCTTGGGCGCCAATCCTCTGCACTCGGTTGATCACCCTCATCTGCGCTGCTCGACACCTGTACCTCCAGACGTTCGACGCGTAGTCCATCGTCGGTGCTACGGCCGCCACGAAAAGCTGTCTGGCCGTCGCCGGAGACAGGCCTTTGAGCCGTTTGAGCCCCAGCACGGCCTCCAGCCCTTTTGTCGTCGCGTCTGCGATGTGCTTTTCGAAACGGAGTTTCGTGTCCATCATCACTCCCAATACTTTGACGTGGTCCTTTGCTCGGACAGTGTCACCTTTGATGACGAAGCTGGTTGAGTCCGCCGGCAGCCTCCAGTTGCGCGTGAAGTGGATGATGGCCGTCTTGTCCGTCTCGAACGTCGCCCCGCTTCGTCGTTCCCACGCGAGTGCTCGATCGATAATATCTTGGATGCCCTGACGGTTTGCTTCGCGCGATCGGCCTGTGACCCACGCCGTGTAGTCATCGACGAAGGCCAGCGCGCCCCCGTTCTCGTCGATTTGGTGCTGTACGAGATCGGCGTTGAAGAAGAGGAAGAGCACGGGCGAAAGCGGCGAACCCTGAGGCAGTCCGGCTTGTGGTAGCGGACGAGCCTCGGACTCGTGACCGTTAACCAGGATGCTTGCCGTTCTATGGGAGCAGAAGGCGTCCACCCATCTCACCAGCTTGTCCGGGATCCCCGCGCTCTGAGTCTTTGAAGTAGTCTCTCTTTGTACACACCATTGTATGCTCCCTTGACATCGAAGCTGACCAGACTGACCACCTTTCTCTTTCTCCACGCTCTGTAGATGTACTCCTGCAGCAGTACCAGCGCCTGCTCTGCCGACCTCTGCTTGCGAGCGCCAAAGTGGCTCGTGGGAAGGAGGCCGAACGTCTCGACAGCGTGCGAGATACGTTCTGCCAGGACCGACTCCAGCACTTTTCCGAGCGTCGAGAGAAGCGAGATCGGTCGCCAGGCCTTCGCTATACCGTAGTCGCTTTTGTTTGGCTTCTTCAGCGGGATGATCTTTGCGTGTCGCCACTGCCTCGGCAACACCCCTTCATCCAGTGAGGTCTGGAAGAGTGTAAGCACCCTCTCCTTCACCACTGGCCACGTGTGCTTCCACACTGCCACCGGCAGACCGTCCTCTCCGGGTGCTTTCCACGACTTTGCCGCAAAGAGCTGTCTCTCTACTTCTCCCAGTGTGA